AGAATAACTCACGGGGGGGGGGGAACTCTTCCTCCCTCCCTTCCTGACTACAAAGAGCCACTAGCTTTACGGGGTCTTCATTGGACCTCAGAGGTGACCCAGCAGCCACTGCGAGAAGCCCAGGCTGGCGTCCAGTAGCTGCTTCCAAATCCAGGGTGAGGCAGAAGTAAACCCCCCCCCCCTTGGCCATCCTCATCCTCCCAGGCCTCAGGGAGAACAGGGCAGTTCTGGGCTGCAGGACGGAAGGGGCGGGGCAGAGGGAGTTAAGGGATTCCTGGCAGGACCCAGTGCTGAAGCAGAGACAGACCAGCCTCTGTTTGGCACACAATGGGCCTGTTTTGCACAACAACAGCCCCTTCCGGGAGCTGGGGGGGGCGTTCAGACAATGGCTGAGGCAACACCCACTACTGGGCCAAAGGAAGGCAGCTGGGGAGGCATTGAGGGGGGGATTGCCAAGCCCACCATGCCCTTATGCTGGGGCAAAGGCCTCGCTCTGCAACCCCCAACCACCCTAGCCTGGTCCTGCGTGCTCAGCCTCGCCCCACTCACAGGCCAATTCAAAGGGTGGGGGTGGAAAACACACCCCACTCTCTACAGTCTCCCCCCTTACAAGCAAGAGGAAATATTTTACTTGGTTTTAACTGCACCCTCCCTTCAAACGGGGTGGTGGTGACTTAAACAATTTAGAACCAAAGCAGAGAAGCAGAGGTGGTCCCTGTAGATTACCCCTCCCCCATTCCTAGGAAAGCTGCCCATCCCCCATGCCAGATCCAAGGAGAACTCTCCAGGGAACAAATCGCGATCGAGCAATGGATGGATTAAAAGCCCCTAACAGGCCCCGAAAGTAATCCTTCAGTTTCGAAGGGACCCCAAGTCAATCGGCATTTAGCCCGGGAGGATTCGGGACCTCCTAAGACGACTCGATTCGGAGCTGAGCTTTGGGCGCAAAAGATCGGAAAAGCAGCAGCAGCAGCAGCCGCCGCCGCCGCCGCCGCCGCAGGCAAGCCCGACAAGTTCGGAATCGGTCTGGAATTGAATTGAACTCGGCCCGCCTCCCCGCTCGACGGGCGTCCAGCGAAGGAAGGGGAGAGCAGCGGGCGGGGGCAGGATGGGCTGGGAGGGGGAGGGAAAGCCCCCCAGGGACTCCCGGCCAGCCGCTGCCCTTTCGTAGCCGACCCCCGTCGGGAAAGGGACAAGTTCCGCCCGGGGCACGAACCTGGCCCGGGAAGGCGGCAGCGGCTCCCCGCCCCGAGCCAGCCCAGCCCCCGCGGGGGGACGGAGCCGAGGGCGGGACGAAGGGGCCTCTCGGGGCGGGGGAGATGCGCCTCGGGCTTACCTTCGCCCAGGACCTGGCCCGGAGTCAGCCGCCCGTCGGGCATCGCGAAGACGAAGCGCTGCTGGACGAAGCCAGAGCGGCAGGGAGGCGGACAGGCGGCCAGGCGGCGGTCCACCTGCGGAGGGGGAGAATTGGGGGGGGGCTCAGGCCTCTGCCCCCTCCCTCCCTCCCTCCCTCCCTCCCTCCCGAGAGCCCCGCAAGAGCCGGGCGGCGTCCAGCCGGCAGGGCGGCGGGGAGGCGCTCACCTGGAGGAGGACGAGGAAGGCCACGGGGAGGAGGCGCGCAGCCCGCCGCCAGCCCATCGCCGCCGTCGAAGAGAGGGAGGCCCCTGGCGCGCCGCTCGCTGAATGGGCTCCGCCTGCCCTGCCAGGCCTTTAAAGGCGCCGCGCCAGGTGAGGCTCTGCGGGCGGGGCTCCAGCTGGCCCGTCCCCCACCGCCCCCTCCCCTCCCCTCCCCTCCCTCCCCGCCAGGGCGCAGGGATCGGCGGGCCCACCCGGCGTGCGAGAGCCGGAGCGAACCGCTGGCCGGAGGGCGCTTCCCGCTGAAGCTGAGCTCGGAGAGTCCCTCCCCTCCTTTGATCGGGCCCGCTCGGGCCGAAGCCGGTCCCCGACCCAGGGGAGGCAAAAGTTGCCTCCCTCCCCCCGCAGCTGTGCCCGTCGCTCGGGTGGGGTCCCCTTTGCGCCACCCCCGGGACCCTCCGCCGCTCAGTCTCTCGGCGGCCAGCCGGCCTCTCCCGCAACCTCGGCGGCGGCGCCGTGAAGAGCCGGAGGGCGGGAAGCGGAGAGGGCAGCAGGCAGGGCCCCGGCGAGACCCGAGAGAGGCGGGGAGGTGAAAGGCCTCCCCATTTCGCCCCCTCCCCAGCTGGTTCCCCACAACCTGTCAGGCGCTGGCCACAAATGATCCAGGCAGCACCCACTTCTGCCCCAGCTACCTTGGTGGGTTCCCCCAACTCTGAAACAGGAACCTCCGGTGGGACTTTCTGGGATGCTGCTTTCCACCCAGCCACCAACCCAGGCAGGCGGGAAGGGTGCTGAGGTCCTTCCAGGGAATCTGGGGTGGGTGCCTTTTTTGCACCTCCTTAGGTGATGGGCAGGAGGCAGGACCTAAACAATTAAAAACTACAATTAGCATTTTAAAAATTGGAACGTCAGAGATATTTTATATGCCATTTTGATATTTTAAAGTATAAAATATATTAAAGTTTTCAGTCATTGAGCTAAAAGAGAGTCCTGGAGAATGCAAAATATTGTTTTATGTTATATCTGCAATATGTATGGATACAAGTGAATTTTATATACTGCTTGCATTGGTACAAAGGACTTACAGTCTAGACAAAGAATGTTTGTGTTTGTGTGTGTCTTGCCCTGCTCCTCCGTCAGCCCAGCACCCCCAGCTTCTTTGGGAGCCTCCAAGTCGGACTTCCCAGAGACCAGCTGCAAGTCTTTTTTCAGGTGCAGCTTGAAATCTCCCTCAGGGAGGGGCGAAAAGCAGGGATCCCTGGGCCCCTTCAGAGGCACCTGGGGAGGGTGCTGTGAGAAAGAGGCCTGGATTGCATAAGGCCTCCGCTGTGCAAAGCTGCTGCTGCTGAATGAAAGGATCAGGCACTCGGTGAGCAAAGAGGGTCGAGATTACATTTGCAAATGCCAATCAGATGGGTTTTATAAGGCTGTTAGCCGCCCTGAGTCCGGTGAGGAGAAGGGCGGGGTACAAATTAAATTATTATTATTATTATTATTATTATTATTATTATTATTATTATTATTATTATTATTATTATTATTATCACCTGGTGGGGGAGCAGGGCAGGGTCTCTAAGTCTAATCTAAAGCAAAGGAAAAGCTTCCTGTATTTAGGCAATAGAAGCACCAGTACTTCCATGGAAAAAGCGCTGCAGGCTCCCCTTGGACTCAGGCAAATTGTAATTCAGACCAAGCTTAGAGTCGATTTTTGGCAGGATCCCGCAAGGCACCTCCTGGAGCTCTTATTCAGCCAGGCCAGAGGATGAGAGAACAGCCGTCACTGGGCTGTTCGGCTGCAGCATTTCCACTTTCCCAAAGGCAGTGAGCAGATCCAGGCTTGTCCTCTCCCCTTTGATGATGCACTTGGTGTACGTATGTACACACACACACTGTTACACTTCTGCAAAGGTCCTAGAGCCATAAGTGAGGATGCCTGGCCCTCTTGCCTGCTGCCTTAGCAACAGGAAGAGACCAGGTCAAGGCCCAGAGGAGCCGGGGCTGTTCCCAGCGTGGCCGGGGGACGCCTGGGGAATACTCCGAACAGGAAGCCCCTCTTGCACAGGCTCTCAGCCACTGACACCCTTAGGAGGTCTGTAGAGGGAAGCCAGAAACCACCATCATGACCTTGACTTACTCCATGTATTGATCAGAAGTAAGCTACATTTAAAACCAATCAATTAAAAGGCAATTTTCCTGCATGTCCCACCCCGTGGTCTGGAGGCCCCAGGTTTTCTGAATTTCAGTCCCAAAAGTTAGCAGGTAAATAGTGTTCCTCTTTCTTTGGCTACTATCCAACCATCCTCTCGGAATGAAAACCACTCATTTTGGGGTTTCCTTCAATTTAAAACCTCAAGTGGGTGTTCAGGAGAGAGGAAATAGGCAGAATGCTCTGAGAGCGCCCTCTGGTGGCATCTTCCTGCATCGGTTGCTTTTATCAAGTGGGGAAGGCGCCTCCATTTCTAGAGCAGGCAAAGAAGAATCAGAAAGAACTTTTGGAGATTCTCATTCATCCAGATTATGGTTGTCCCCAAGGTGCTTTTTTCCAAAAAGAGGAAGGAAGGAAGGAAGGAAGGAAGGAAGGAAGGAAGGAAGGAAGGAAGGAAGGAAGGAAGGAAGGAAGGAAGGAAGGAAGGAAGGAAGGAAGGAGAAGCAGAAGAAAGAAGAAGCAGAAGCAGAGGAAGCGGAAGAAGAAAGAAGGAGAAGAAGCAGCAGCAGCAGCAGCAGCAGCTTGGATTAGAATGAAATGTTTTCAAAGGGAAAAAAAACCAAGAAGCTCCAATTGCCTTTTGGGAAAAGCACTTTTGGGAGAATCAGAAAGAGACAATGTGACTTCATATGGTTACATACCAGCTTGCTTTGAGAAAGCTTGTTTTTGGAACTGACAGTGAGGCACTTACTTTTGTTAAAGTGCAAGTGGTCCTGCCTGACACTGGAAGGCAGCTTCCCAACTGGTTGCCCAAAGTTGGCCACAGCACCGTGGAAGAGACGTTCTCTTTGTGACTCTTCCTCTAATTCGAAAAGTGAAAACTGGCACTTGGCCCTGGCTTGTCTTCCTCAGATAAACTGCTCAAGCAAACAGAGACTTTTGCCCTGCAATTACCGACCTGCTAGTTACTTGTGCACAACGGAGGGCAGGGAAAGAGGACGATGGGCTGCCTGGGGATCCTGCTGCTGCTTTGTCTCCTTCAGGTAGGCTTGTCGTCGTGGGTGGGATCCCAGATGGTGCGGGGACTGGAGAATGTCGGGGTGCAGGAAATGGATTCTGCTCCTGGGCTGACTAGTCCTTTGGAGATCTTGGACTCTGGTTTCCATCAGTCCCTCCCAAGCAGCACAGGCAGCAGTAGGGAAGCATCAGAACCAGCAACAGGTTTTGGAACTCTCTGACAAGCCCTACTCAGTGGAGACGTTGGGGATGGAAAAGGGACATGAATGAGCTAACATGGAGTCCTGTTCATCCCAACCCAATCCAGCAACAGAACTTGGCCAAGTCTGGCTGTCAAGTAAGCAGACTGATCCATCCCTAGTAGCTGTAGAGCAGTACAGACCCCTAACCTCCCCCGCCCTGCTATCTGGGGAAACAAATGGAGCAGGAGAGACTTCATAAGGGTGGGGAAGAGGGAAGACCTGACCTTCGTCTCCAGGCAGCAGGTTTCAAGCACCCACTCTGGGGAGCCCAGACGCTGCTGCTCTGCTGCCGGAAAAGGAAAAGTCAGCCATGCAGTGGTTGGACAGAGCCCCCCCCCCGCAGGGCTTAGTCCTGATCCTGCAGGCAAAGGCCCCTCATTCCTTCATTGCAAAACCTCCAGCCACTAAGATTCAAAGTCTAGCACAGCAGAGGCAAAGGATCTTTGCTGGGCAGCAGCCTCGCCACCAAAGAAGCTTCCCCAGAATCGTTCCAGAACTGGGGCATCAACGCTACTCCCCCTGACCCCCAAGAAAGAGGGCCAGGACTCTGTAGGCAGGGGTAGGCAACCTTGGCTCTTTTATGACTTGTGGACTTCAACTCCCAGAATTCCTGAGCCAGCCATACTGACTCATGAATTCTGGGAGTTGAAGCCCACGAGTCATAAAAGAGCCAAGGTTGCCTACCCCTGCTGTAGGGCAACTGTCGATGCAACAGCCAACCCTTCAGGGGAGGGGGCTAAGCTGCTTTGCTTGACAAGCAAATTCTTCAGCCTTTCTCACTGAACAGCCAGGGAACCCCAGTGCACAATATGCTACAAGGCCAGGTGTGGACTGAAAATATGCACAGAGACCTGCTGGCTTCATCCTGATGTTTTCTCTCATTTAAAGCAAATACAGAGTTTCGTAAGGGTGACTCGGGGGCAGCAAACTTTCAACAGGACAGGAGATATTTTCCATGCACTGCAAACACACAGCCTCATGGAAAAAAACCACTGCAGACCCATTAAGTAGCAAGACACACAGACCAAAGTTGAGAGAGTTTCGGGATCCTCTCCCCCCCACACTTCTCAGTTTTGGGAAGGGGTCTTCTTCAAGAGTTACAGTGAAATCAAACTGAAAGGAGGTGGGTATGCTTGCCTCCCCCCCATGGATCCTGCGTCCCTGCTGAGAAGTTCCATCTACGCATAATCATTTTCAGCTGGGGAACCTCTTTCTGCAAGAAGAAATGTGCAACAGATCCCCCCCCCCATCAGGCTGAGCCTCCTGGTATCTCCTCCCTGGGGTGCCCATCATCTTTTGACCAGGAAAGAAGAAGAGAAACTGCTTTCCTGCTCAAAGTCCAGGAAGGTGGAAACCAATAAACCCGAATCACAAAGGTTGCCTCCACAATCACAGCCCACAAGTCCCCTTTAAGAAAACCAAATCTCTAAACATACAAAGTTCTACATTGGGAAAGACAAACACAGGAAAAATGAGAAAGATGACAATCATCTCCACAGACTTCCAAGTTCAGTCAGCCTAACCAAGCCAGTTATATATTATTATCTGTTCAAAGATGATTTTGGTTTCAGCCAAGTTCAGAGTTTACTGCAGGGATGATAGCTGGAAATAGTTATCTCTGATTTTTGCTTACATGCTGTTAGGTCTAAGTCCATATTGCCTTACTCAATTTTATAGACCACAGAGGGTGATAGCCAGCATCTTTGGGAAGACCAGAGAAGGAACATTGATATTCTGGATCCAGCTCACAAGTGGTCCATCCTACATTCCCAAAAGCTTTTAGTGGGTGATAAAGATGACAACTAATTTTCATTATTGTGCCACTATATAAATAGGCTTAAAGGACAGCAGCTTTCTGGGGCAAAAAATCCTGAATTCCCTGATGTATTTTATCAGACGCTTTAGAGGGCGCTCTTGGGTCATACAAAGCTTTGTCACAGCTTCTCTGTGATGTGAAAGTGGGCCATGTGGTGTGTTGGAGTGCACGGAGAGAAATAGAGATGCAACTTTTGAGCCCAAAAGGTTGCCTGCGAGTTAAATGTGATCCTTGCTACAAAGTGGTCCTTTCTTCTCACTCACCCAGGCAAAGACTGGGGGGGGGGGGGGGGNAAGCCTTTCTTAAGATGGATTTCATAATCCCGTCTCCTCTTTCTTACTCATTCTGCCTGTCTCTTGGAGGGGAGCCTCCAGTGGTGGGATTCAAATATGTGAACAACCAGGGTTCTCTGTGTGGATGCCACTTCTGAGAGTCCATTCTGGGCCTGGGCAACAAAAAATTAGCTGCCGGTTCTGCCGGAGTGAGTGGTGCGAACCGGCTGAATCCCACCACTGGCAGCCTCCCATCCTGCCTCCCCCAGCCAAGTCCTTGCTGCTCCTTTCCGGCTTACCTAGGAATAAGTCCTAATCAACTGGATGGTTTTCTTTATGAATATATGCTGGAAATTAAAACTTACATGCAAAAATTCTTTCCTAATAAGTAAGTTGAAGAGGATACAGGCTGTTCATGGCAGCACTCACAAGAAGGGCAGAGATCCGGAGATCAGATGGGCAATTCCAGTTGTGAGAATCCCTGGGGAACCGCCAGAGGCCAACACTTTGTGCAAAGGGGCCTGTTCATTGCACTCCTGGGAGTTTTCTCTAACTAAGAAAGTCGCTCAGTGCTGTTCCACTTGAAGAGAAATGAGCTCAAAAGGCTGTGGTGACAGAAAAGAGGAGGCTTTAGACCTGGGGCATGAAGCTTTGGGGCAAGGTCTCTCTGCTTTGCCACAGAAGGAATCCCCTGGGCAGCCTTTTTCTCTGCTTTCCCCTAAACCTCTCACGACTCAAAAGGAGTCTAAATCGCCGGCCCCTTCCTTCCTTGCATGCAGAACCGTAGACCCCTGTCTTTCTTCACAGGAGACCCGTCCGGCTGCTCAGGCGGAGGTGCTGCTTTTTCCAAGGTCTTCACCTGGCCTGAGGCGGCAAAAGAGAGACTGGGTCATCCCTCCGATCCTTTGCTCTGAGAACGAGAGGGGGCCTTTCCCCAAGAACCTGGTGGCGGTAAGGACTTTGCTTCTGGCACCTTCTACTGGGATTCTCTTGCACATTTTTAAGTTAGTTAGTTTCCCGTCAGGAATTTGTTTATTGAATTTGTTTGCTGCCCGTCTCGCTGCAGGACCCCAAACATTTCAGATTGCGGCAGTGATGAGTGTACATTTTGTCTAAACCCCTTGGATCTCCCTTCAGCCAAGCTTTGGGGCCCGCATTTCTGCATTGGGCCAGGCAACGCTGCCCCCACGGTCTGCTCTGGCCCAGGCCGCCCCCGGGCCCTGCCCCAGTTCTCCCTTTGGCGTTCAGAAGGTGGAAGGGCTGCAGGACCACCCCCATCGCTGACCTCTCACACCCCATCTCCCCAATCAGGTCAAGTCCAGCAAAGAAAAAGAGGGCACCGTCTACTATAGCATCACTGGGCAGGGGGCCGACAGCCCTCCAGTTGGCACCTTCATCATCGAGAGGGAAACTGGCATGCTGAAGGTGACTCGCCCGCTGGACAGGGAGAAGATTCCCCGCTACCAGGTGCGTCCAAGTCATCTGCTGTGGTTGTTCATTTTGCTTTCAATTTGTGGTGGCTGCATTGGGTGGCTGAGGAGGGCCACGTGCTTGGAAATCTGCCCTGTGGATTGGGAGGGATGGCAAAGGCCACTGTGTCCTCCGGGAGGCCAGGCCCGCTGCCAGGCCGTTTGCTGCCCCACTAGAGTGAGTTGGCAGAGGGGTTTCTTTCCTACCAGAAAGTCCTTCCAGAAACCCCTTCTAGAAGCAGGCGACTCTTGAGGAAGGCCGCTACCTTCTTGCTCCTGAAGCGTCTGTGTTTTCTGTCCAATAAAAATTTCCCATCCCCTTTCGTGGTGGGTCTGACTCTAGAGGGTCTGAGAGGTTCCTGGGGACCTCCATCCCAGGGCAGGCTCTCCAATGAAGTTCTGCTCAGTGAAAAACGCTGCCTGGCTTCTCTTTTCATCCCTGGTGAACAACGGCCTTTCTCCACCTTCAATGCAGCTGTTTTTCCATGCGGTGTTAGCCAATGGCCAGACAGCAGAGGACCCCATGGAGGTGATCATCAATGTTGGTGACCAGAATGACAACCGTCCACAGTTCACCCAGAGCGTCTTCAAAGGGTCTGTGGAAGAGGGAGCTAAACCAGGTAGGGAAATCTGGTTGAGGTTACAGAAACCTCACTCCTGTTGCGTTGCTGCCCTCTGTGACGCAGGCACAATCCCCAAGTTGGCAGCCTGGCAGAACCACAAATGCAGAGCTCAGGACTTGCTGCCTCTGAGACTGAATGATCTTTTTCCAAGTGCCTGGGGAGCCTTAGGCTGGGACGCTGTGCTGCCTCCTAAACGGGGCCTTGCTGTTCCTGTCCAGGTAGTCCGGTGATGCAGGTGTCGGCCATTGACGAAGATGACACTGTGGACACCCTCAATGGGGTTGTATCTTACTCTATTCTCAGCCAGGAGCCCCCAGAGCCACTCAGCAACATGTTCGCCATCAATTCAGAAACAGGCCTCATCTTCTTGAACACAGCCGGCCTGGACAGAGAGGTGAGTGAGCAGCTGGGGGCTAACTGGGGTGATGACCCACCTAAGTCATGCAGATCCCGTGATGGTCACTCCTCTCCCCCGCCCCCCAGCAGTCAAAAGCAATTGGAAGGCCAGCCTGCAGAGCTTCTTGGCTGAATCCTTTAGTGAGGGCCTCAGCCAGAGCCAGTCAATGGCTAGGAAGGAGGGATTGTGCCCCCATGCCCTCCACTCCCCTTTCCAGTTTTCCTAAGAGCTACAACATTGGGTAGGCAAGAAGAAGTCTGGATTTCCCTAGCAATAAAGGTCGATTTTCAAGCCACACTTGCCAGCTGTTGGACCCCCAGCAGCAATTCTGCGATCCTGAAGACCCACAGTTTGAGTAGATGCCTCTTTTTAACCTCGGGGGCCCCAATGAAATTCTCTCTTTTCAGAAAGCCCCCAAATACACCCTGATCCTGCAAGCCATAGATATGGACGGGGCTGGCCTTTCCACCACCGCAACTGCAGTGATCCAGGTAACTCTCGAGAACCTGCTGGGAGGCCTCCATCCCAGAGTGCCACATCTGCTTTCCCTCATCGTTCTTCCCTGGATCTGCCTGGTGCTGCGCTTTGCCTCCCAGAAAGCCAGAAACTTTGCCATCAAGGACATATCCCTATTAAGGGCTCTTCGCCAGTAACAGCCAGCCCTGGCAGGGTTAATACTTCCTGCCGAGTCACGGCTGGCTTCCTGCCAGGCCTCCGCAGGAAGGGGCTGGATTGAGAAGGCCAAAAATGGCCGGGCTGCCAGACGAGGATGGAGGGCGAGCCCAGGTAAATCTGTCAGTCCCACCCCAGCAATGTGGCCGGCAGAAAGCAGAGACTTCCTGGCAGAAAGCGGGGGTGTCGCCCAGGAGACTGGGCAGGCCTGCAGAATCCCAGCCCCTCTGGGCACGCAGTAGCGTCCTACCCCTCCCAGGGCACCAGGGCGCCGGCTTCCGGTGATAGAGAGGTACTGCGAGGGATGGAAACAAACTTGGTTGGGGTGTGGAGTGCACACAGGTTTTTCTGCTTGTATCCAGGTTGCCAGCTCCAGCGAGGGCCATCACACATCCCTGAGCGTCCATGCACTGAACGTGTTCACTGGCCTTCCTGCCACCGGCTTGGCCGTGCACCTCTCTCAGCTTGAAGCCCCCAACGAGGCCTGGACGGAACTAATGACCAGGTGGGGAGATGGGGAAGCCCCTGCCTCCCTTGGCCAGCCGGGAGCCCCACAGCCTCACCCGGCTGTCTTCTGATTGCAGCACTACCAGTATGGACGGGCGCATGGACAAGAGCGAGCTGGCCTCCCTGCAGCTGGAAAGTGGCACCTACAAGCTGCGCTTTGCCACAGGAGAATACTGGCAGCAACAGGGCCTCACCAGCTTCTACCCTTACGTGGAAGTAAGTTTTCATTTCAGCTGCACAAGAGCGAGCAATCGCTCCCAGCAAACAGGTCTTCTGGTTGCCCTGGGGCCCCCAATTGACCCCAAACGGAAAGGGCCACAGGCTGCGGTGCTCTGGGCCTTTGGGCTTCTGCAGTCAAGAAGATCCCCCTGCCAAGCCAAGAGGCCACCAACTCTTCACCCTCACTTGTTCCAGGTTGTCTTTACCATCACAGAGGCCGAGCGAAAGGTGCACATCCCACTGCTGTTCAGCCCCTATTCCTATGTGACCTACCGAGGGAGCTAGTGCGAGAGCCGGGGCTTCCCTTGGGATCCTGGGCCACCCAGAGGGGACTGCACCCAAGACCAGCCGTGACGCCAGCTCGGGGTCTTATCTGAGGAAACACAAGCCTAATAAAAGGTCTACCTTGCAAGGGTGTTGTGAGGATAAATCAAAGATTGCTGCGCATCAGCCATTTGTCTGAAATTTACGAAAAGCCCCCTTAAGACCTCTTTAATACAAAAGTCATGCAGGCGAGCCCAGTCTCTTTGTGGTGGGCAGCTTCCTCCACTGACCCCCAAAAGCTGCAGGAGGCTTGCCTTGCCTGTGGGCTGATCTCCTGCAGAGGATTTTGCCAGCTCTGCTACGTGGGGGTGGAGACAAATCCTGCAGGGCCCTGGCCGAGGGTGTGTCCCAGCACGGAGGTCTCTAGAGGTTTGAAGCCCAGATTGTCCAAAGGGATCCCAAAGGAGGTGAGCTTCGCCTCGTACGTTTGCAGCAGATCGTTGTGTGCCTGCGAGGGGAGAGGGGGGCAGTGAGGCTAAACAGTGGGCTGGGGACTGAGAAGGAGTGCCCGCCCCCTCTCTGCAGGACGGCTCAGGTCTCCCTGTTTGGAGTCTGCCTCACACAGCCAAGGCAGCGCCCGCTCTCCCCCTTCTGCCTAGAACAACTACAGGCCTGAGCTGAGGGGGAGCTCAGGCCAGGCTTTTCCAGGAGGCAGCTCTGCAAGCATGGGCAGCTGTCCCCAGGACTGCAACAGCTGGGAAGGCTGCAGTCCAACAGTCTAGAGGGGGCCGCCTGGCAGTGGGACTCTGAATACCACAGGGCTCCATGGATGCTGCAAGCAGAAGCAGGTTCCCCAGTGAAGGATCTCTGAATGCCCCATGGCCTGGTGCTGCCCCTGGCCTCATCTAAGCTCCTTGGGGAAGCTCCTTCCACTCGCGGCTCTTACCTTGCAGACTCTGGCCAGCTCGTACTGGAGGTCTTTGATAGCATTGTTTTTGGAATCCAGCACATCCTGCAAAGCAAAAACATCGGCCTCTTAAAACTACATTCAAGGCACTGGCTCCAAAGCAGCTCTCCAGCGTCTTGTGGTCCTGCTGACCAAGGTGAGTCTCTAACTGTTCTTTTAGGAATATTCCTTCTTGTGCCCCCTCCCCTACCAACCCCCATCCTGTCCTCCCTCTGAAGTCTGACTCAAAAGGCCCACCTGTTTTCAAGCTTCTCTCAGCAGCCACAGGACTGAGAACCATGAGTACTTTTATCTTAAAGACACTGAGAGTAACCAGTGGGGGTCAATGTTGCCCCAAGTACCACACGGAATTCTGGTAAGAAAGTTCTAGAAGACAAACAGGAATCCTGAAGGGGTCCCTGCCAGTCCTTCCAAGGAGAAGGGGGCTCCCTTTGGAAGTCAGAGTAAGGCTGACTTGCCCCCCAGAAATGGAATTAAAACTCTGCAACCCCAGAACATGTCTGATGGGCTCAGTGCCAGATCCAATCCGGGCCTCGAGAAAGGACCAGCAAAGGGGCCTCCTGCATGAGCAGCAGCCGAGCACAAGAATGCCGAGCGCCTGACAGCAAAAGCAGCTGCCGGAAGGAGGTGCAGGTCTCCGGGTCTGCCGGGATGCATCTCCCATTACTGGCGCTGACAGGGCCTGGAATGCCTGAGCTGCTCACCCCAGTCCTAAACAGGTCAGATTGCTGAGATACCGATTTCCTCTCCAGCCAGGCCAGAAATTGGTCAGCAGAGGAAGGACAAGGAGGATCCCTACAGTAACATTTCGGGCAGCTGCATCTAATTTCCAGAGGTTGGGTGGGTCCGGTACCTCCAGCTTGTGGGTGACCACAGTGAGAGCGCTGGGATCGAGATTGGAGGCAGCCAACACCTCATTCAGCTGCACTTCCTTCTTCTCCAGAAGGCTGGCAAGGCCAATCAGCTTCCGCTCCAGCAGCAGGTTCTTGAAACCAGTTTTCTGCTGCACCTCGTTAATGGCTTTGGTAAACTTTTGGTACAGGTCATCGCGCTCGTCCTGAACCTATGGAGACAGTCAGCAAGGCAACATCCCTCCAAAGCCAACAGCAGGGAGCATTAAGCGATTTCCAGCATCAGATTGTGCGGCTATTGTTAAGGATACCCAGCACCCAGATAGAAGATAGGTAGGAAAATATCAGCCAAGAAACAACTGCTCAGGAGCAGAGCCCTCTTTGCATGCAGAAAATGTCCTTAGCATCTAAAACCCGAGTGCGAAGGCACTAGATAATGCAGAGGGTTGACCCACCTCCAAGCAGTTTTCGATCTATGCCAAGTGTGACGGCACAGTGGGGGAGAGTTCCACCGGCTATTTACAGAAGCGGGCTGGCTTCTCCCTCCCTCCCTCCCTCCCTCCCTCCCTTCCATCCACCAAGTAAAGGCTGGCCCTCAGCCCTTACCTTGCTGAATCTTTGCTGCAGCACTTCATGCTCCCACTGAAGATCCTTCAGGTCTTTCTCAGTGACTTTCAGCCGGGCCCGAATACTCTAGAGGGGAAAAGGGGATCAAAAGAGCTGCAAGACCTTTGTAGGTTGTGGGAATGAAGAATGCTTGTTGGGCAGATGTGCAAAAGGAGGGTAAGACCGTGAAGGGGGTCTCCAAGGTTCTTTTACACCCCTTAACTTTCATTCCGTGAATAGCAACGCCTGCTGAACCGGGCCCATGCCACTAAAGGCCCTAAACTCTCAAGGGGTCTATAAACTGTTCATAGCCCAGGAGCTCCATTCAGGTGGTCCACAGAAAAACGGCAGGAGAAAGCACCCACCTTAACCTTTTTTCTCCCTACAACACTTCCACACCACTTTCAAGAGGGCCACATTAACTTTAATTGCTGGCATTACATCATCTCAGCTACCTCCTGCTGTGCGAGCTAGCTGGAATGCCTGTCCCAGTCCCAAGGGCCCTGCCACTTACTGCCAAGATGGCCTTGTCTTTCTCATAGTGAGCCAGCTTCCGCTGCAGCTCGGAGACCTCATCCCGGGCTCGCTGCAGCGGCTCCGCCAACCTCTTGTTCTGCAAAAGCACTTCAGCCATTTCCTTCTCCAGGTGATCCTCTTTCTTCTTCATCTCCTCCATCTGCTCCTGTGTTCCAGGAAGAGGGGAAGCATCTCAGACCTTCAAGGCCAGCAGTCGCCACTTCCCCTCTCAAGCTCCTCCAATGGTTCCTTCTCCATTCAGATCCCACGTGAACATACAAAGACCAAGCCGGACGATAGGACAATGCAAAACCTTGCATGTTCTTTGGTCCATTTCCTAATGAAACCCTACTGTGGATTTTTATTTTTCTTGTTGAACCAACAAGTGCTGTTATTTTTCACACAATTGATACCAAAGAGGCAGTAAATAAAAAGCTCCCTATAATCACATGCCCTGTGCCAATAAAGGAATACAAAGCTTCCAATTACAGCAAGGCCCGGCCTACCATGGTAGGTGCGAATTTTCTAGTCAGCCCAGCCAAACCAGTCCCACCCAGGGCTCCGGCTGCTCTGTCGATGCCAACAGAGAAGGCCGCTCTGTGGTTTACCTTGAGAGTATTGATCAGTGCCAAGTTGTTGAGGGTGACGTCGTTGTAGTAGTTCTTGATGTCGCTGAAGGCCTTCTCGTGATTCTTCATCAGCGTGTTGATCTGGCCGTTTTTCCTCTCCTCGATCTCGTGGATTTCTGTCTTCCTGCGCAGGTCAAGCTCATCACGCAGCACCCGCATCTTCTTCTCATACTTGGCCTCAATCTCTGCAGAGGCAGCACCAACCAGGCTGGGCTGAGTGTTCCACCAGGCCAGTCACTCTCCAGGTCTCTATCCTTAGCTGACGGCTCCAGAGGAAATGGGGCAGATATCACTAGGCCTGAAGATCCCCCAAGGGCAGCGGACCACATCCCACCCCATAAAGCACCAGACTGTTTGTACGGCTTTACTGTACGCAAGTCATCTGTAGACAGATGTGGGTGATGGACCCTCCTTATCCAGGCCCGTCCTCCTACTTTGGAGACACGGGAGAAAGCTTGACTCTACACTTGCAAGCATTCACACTGCCTGCTGTAAAGCAGTGCTCACATACTTCTAGGTTTGCCCGAGAAAGAAAGCCGTGGCCACTGAGCTGTGCTGAACGGAGGATGCTGAGTTTGGTGAAGGTGGGCTTCCACATTCCAGAGTATGTGCCGAGTCCTGAGACTGACCTTTCACTTGTCTCTCAAAGTCATTGCGTAGGTGTGTCAGGTCTTCTTGCTGTTTCTGTTAAGACAGCAATGGTGCTCAGTGAGTCTAGCAAAGGCTGCTTTGCCAAAGGCAGAAGCAGAGACAAGGCTGGCTTGCTTCGGAGGGCGCAAAGCAGAAGAGGCAGAAGGACCCACCAGTCGGAGGTTCTTCACCACCATCTCGTTGGCCAGCTCCTGCTCTTTCAGCTCCACCTTCAGGGTGCGCATGTCTTTGCGCAGCTCCATTTCCTGGGATCGGTGGTCCTTCTGCGCCAGCTTCATGGCCACAGTGCCCTCGGCCTTCAGCTCCGTGAGGTTGTTCTGATGCTCGTAGAGCAGGTGCTTCACCTTCTGCTTGTACACCTGGGGTGACCAGCAGAGAGGCTAGCCTGCGGCAGGGCAGCACCCAGGGTGAGAGCCTGGGGAGCCGGAGCCAAGGGAGGAGGGTTCGGTGGTACCTTGATCTCCACTTGGTGACGCTCCTCCGCCTCCTCCATCTCCCGGTCCTTGTTGCGCAGCTCGGCCTTCTTCTCGTCCAGCTGCCGCCGGGTGATTTCCCAGAAAGTGTGGATCTTGTCCCGCTCCAGCTGGAAGTAGTTGCGCTCCTCCCGCTCGCGGTCCAGCTCCTCCCGGATGCGGGCCATGTGCTCTTCCAGCTGCGAGAGGCCCCCGCAGGCTCAGCCCAGGAGGGACGCGGCCCCCCGGCCGGCCGGGCCCCTCGCGGGGGGACCCAGATGCGCTCCCGCCACCCCTCCCCCAGCGCAGCCCCGGCCGCCCCCCCCGCGCGCCCACCTGCTCCTTGGACATGCCCTCGGGGGGCAGCGCGTCCACCAGCGCCGCTGCCGGACCTTTGACGCCCTTGCCCTTCTTGCTGCCGCCGCCGCCCTTCTTCTCCGCCGCCTTCTTCTTGGGCGCCTGCGGGTCGGGCGAGGAGAGGGGCGGTGGGTCCCCCTGCCCGGTATCGCCCCCGGCCCCCAGGGAGGGACCCCCGCGACCCCCGCTCGGGATGTCGGCGCGGCCGCCAGGCGGGCCCGCAGCCGGAGGGGAGGGAGCCGGCGCAGCTCCCCGTCCGGCCCGGCCGAGACGCCCCGAAGGCGAGCGGGACGGCCCTCACCATGATGCCGCGGGACAGAGACGCTCGGCCGCCGCGTCTCCAGGCAACCGTCGCCCAAACCTCGCGAGAAGCGCGGGCCGCGCGGCCGCCCCTGACGACCGCCCTGGCAACGGGGCGGGGCCGCCGTGGCTCCCTCGCTCGCGGGCTGGGCGGAGGGGAGGGGGCGGCCCCGGCCGGGGTTGGGTCCCGGTGCCCCAGTCCCGGCCTTGGAGGGGGCTCCGCTCGGGAAGCGTCCGCAAAGCGGGATCAGCCCCTCCCCCGCATTGTGCTTAACCAGAAGAGGGCGCTCCTGTCCATGTACAGAGTGCCACTTGGCCTGCAATGTCGGTGCCCGATTCGAGCGTTGGGCAGCCCCGCTCCCCCTCTGCCCGGGCCCGGCAGCGACCCGGCTGCGGGAGCGGCGAAGCCTCGGGGGCACCGCTTGCTCCCAGGAGGGCTCGGCGCTTTTGAGCAGCGGCTCCTGCGCGGGGCAGGCTAGGCGCGCCGGTCTCGGTCGCGGGAGGCACATCTGCAGCTCCGGCCCGCCAGGCCGGTCCCCCGAAGAGCCGCCACGCTGCCCTCTCCCGAGCAGACGGCGGGTCGGTGTCCGGAGAGAAGGCGGGCGCCAGGCTCGGCCAGGCTCGTCCCTCCAGAAGCGGCCCTCGGCGCCGGGGGAGCATCGCGCCCTTCCGTCCGCAGGCGCGCGGGTGACACCCTGAGCCGTGGCCCTCGGCTTGTGCTCAGACGCGCCCTCGCCCTCCTGAGGTCAAGAGAGGCGACTGCTCAGTTCCGATGCCCGCCCGCGGCTCGCCCCGCCCGGCGTCTCCTCCCCTTGCCCTGCGCCGCTCGACGGCTCCCAGCCTCCTCCGGGCTCTAATGCGGCGGCTGCGGCGGCCGGGCGCGCTCGCCNCTCCCCGCCAGCGAAGTGCGCTCGGGCGGCGGCGGCGGCGGCGGCGGCTGCAGTGGTGGCGGCGGCGCGGAGGGAGGCGGCAGCGGCGCAGCGAGCATCTGGTGCAGCCGGGACGGATGGAGACGCCGGGCGGGGCCGCCCCACCGGGTGAGTGACTCGGCCGGCGCGGAAGGCGAGGCGCGTCTGGATGCGGCTGGCGGCGCGGACGGGCAACTGTTGCTCGAAGGGGCTGCCAGATGAGGAGGCCTGGCGGGGCCCAGAGGGTCGGCCCGACGCTGCGGCGAGGGATGTGCCGGGCGCTTCCGGGGGGTGTGTGTGTTCCCCGTTCGGTGGACAAAAGGCTTTCTGCCCTCGGGGAAGGAGAGGTGAGCGGAACGGGATCGAAGGACGGAGCCTCCCCGCCAGAAACGGGCTTCTCCTGTCAACTTTGGACGCCCCTTCCCACTTTTCCACTTGCAGGGCTGCTGAAACCGAGGCGGCTCCAAAGAGCTAAGGCGGCTTCGGCAAATAAGCCTCCCCCCACCTCCCCCGTCGGTCTTTAGTCTTTAGGCGCTGGAGGCTAGAGACGCGGCGGAGCTCGTGCCCCGTTTAAGCCAAGAGGGAACTGAGTTGCCCGAGGGGCGGCAGGCAAGGCAAGTTGCGGCCTCGTCTGGGGATGCCTGGAGCACGCAGTGGGGTGTGACTGGAATGCCCTTGGACTCCTATCGCTAAAAAGCATGTGTGAATGTGCACGAGGAAGGAAGCGTGCCTTCTGGGGGTCGGTACCTGCTACCACTCACAAAAGCTTCTGGAGCTTTGGGTGGATTGCAGCCTTGGTTTCAAGAGCTTAAATGTCTGGAATTTGGAAACTTCCAAATTCCAACGGGGGCAATGACTTGACGGGATGGATCAATAATCTGCAAGATTCCTCCCCAAAATTCAGTGCCACCCCCCCCCCCCAAACTGATGGTTGTAGGGAAGGGCTGCCAGTTTGGCAGATTCAGCCTGGGTGATTTGGACCTCAGCGGAAGCTGCCGGGCCCAGCCCCCTCTTCCCTTGCTGTGCCATCCTGCAGCCCTGAGCCAGGCCGGGCTCGGGTCCTATAACGTGAGTCAGCAGCAGCGGTCCTGTGGGTGGCGGTGAGAGTCTTCCAAGCCCCCTTTTGACTGCAGGGCGGCTGCTGGATCAGAGAAAGCCAGGGAGGGTGGGAACTCAGTGGAGGAGGAGGTGGAGGGGGGGGGGAAAGGCAGCAGTGAAAGGAGCAGCCTGCTCTGTGCCCAGGGAGGGGCTGCTGGAGGCAGGTGGAAGCGTAAAGGGGACCTGAGAGGGTTGGAAGGCAGCCCGGCTGAGAAAGGGCTTCTAACAGGCAGCTCACAAGCCCTGAACTCTCTGAACTGACTACATCCCTCCAGTCTTGCCCAGTCTCAGCTGCAGCATCTCCAGGCCACACAGCTGACCTTTCTGTTTCCATGCTTCAAATTTCACACCTGCCAAAAGAAACAGGCGAGATCCAAGAAGGTCGACTCAGTGTCTCCTTGTTCTGAGAACTCTTTCCAGCCCTCCCAGTAAGAAGTGGCCCCTCTGAGCAGCTACTTCAGGATGGGAGGACCCGTGGTTGGCTCTTCGTGCAGGCCGAACTGCTTGCTCAAGACAGAGACACTCCATCTAGAAAAGGGAGCCAGGCCAAGCGTGAACGAGGATCAGCAGAATTAGAGAGAAGCCCCAGACAGAGTTTCAAATGGGAAACGAAAGTAATCCACCAGGAGGAATTGGCGGTCCAGACCTTTAGGGGAACCATTTGGGCCAAGTATGGAGAGCTGTGGCCCATTATTGGGCTGCTTGAAATGCAGACCCTGAAGGGTGCTTGGCCTGCTGGAGGTGGCAGAGCTTGAGCTGCCTCCTCTGCCCCACAGGACCCCTGAGCCCAGCTCCACCCCTTCTCCAAGGCAGAGTGGTCCCCAGCATGTTGCCCCCAGAGCGCCCAAGAGATGGGTGTGATCTCTGCTGGAGGAACTGAGCAGGGTGTGGGCTTGCCAGAGGGAGATTCCCAACTTCCTGGGGGTACCCTGGTCCCAACCCTCTGCAGGTGCAGCTCCTGTGCATGAAATCAGTCCTGCTGCAGAACAGGAATAGCCACACCAGCGTGGCAGACTGTGGTGGGTGGGAGGGAGGCAGCCGTATGCTCCTGCCTTTGCTGAGCGTGTCTGGCCAAATGCTGGAGGCGGATGAGTGGAGAGGCAGCCCTGGGGAGGAGGAGGGCATTTACGAGGGCCCTCAGGCCAGCAACATCTCAGGGCTCCTGCTGAAATGGCCACCACCAGACATCGTCAGGCTGCCCTTGCAGAGCTGCGGGGCCGTCCCAGTGCTCCTTTCCATCGGTGGTGGGCACATGACTTATGGGAAGGGGCAGGCAGACCCTGCTTGAAGGGCTTCTGGCTGACTTCTGAGGCCATCTGGGGCTCTTCCCAGAAGCAGCCAAGCGGACAACAGGCTCTCAACCTCCCCAAGCAGAAAGGCCAGATGAAGAGGGGCAGAAAAGAGCCCTTCAGAAAGGGAGTTGCTTCCAAGCTCAACTCTTTTTGCAAGCTGGTCATGCTGGCCTCGGCCTACTGAGAGCCAGAAGTATCCCGGTATATTCACCCCTCCTTTGCGACTTTCCCACACTCGGCTTGTTAAAAACCTGGGCATGAATAATTCAGGACCTTGAGCTCTGGGTGCTGTTTTTCTCACTTCTGCCTGGCTTCCCCTCCCTCTCCTCCCCATATATAAAGCTGGGATGTTCCCCAGGAACCCACAGCAGCAGCAGCCTGCCCCTTGCCAGCAGCCCAGCTGGCTCTAGGAGCCAAATCAGTTTGTGGGTTGCAAGAGCTGGAAGTCTCCCGTGCTGCTATAAAAGGAGATTTTGGCCATGGCTTGTGGCTCCACTCAGGTTCCATCTTTAAATTCTTCCCCTGAATTTGTTCCTGCAGGTGTTCAGCCCGGCCTCCTGTGATCTCGTTCTCAGCCGCAGGAGGGCTGGAGAGGAAACCCAAGGCCGCCCCACCTGCTTGTGCCAGGCATTGGTCCTTCGGCTGACCCCCTTCCAGGGTGCAACTGCCCTCAAATGGATTTGCCTCCCAAGGGTCCCTCAGACCTTTGGGGGAGCAATAGATTCAGACATGTTTGGGGACAGTCTCAGGCTTCTGCAGACGAGCAAATGGGGCATCTGAGCAAGGAGCAGCCGTGAGGACCTGCTGAGGGAGGGCTGTGGGTCAAAGCGCTTGCCTGGTGCACCCGCTTGTTCAGGCAATCACGTCCATTCACATCCAGACACAAGTAGCTACATCTCCCATCACTCATTTTCTGCTTGCAGAGTTTAAACTCCCCCCTTGCTGCAACTCCCCTTCCCTGCTAACTGGCAACAGCCATGGAAAAGGACAATCTGGCTCACCCTCACAAGGGTGATCCAGAAGGCATTCCGTCAGGGAAGAGGCTGCCCGAGGAGAGCCAGGCTTGCAAGGCCCCTTCCGGAATGCAGCCAGGGCAGGACCACTGCATGGCCTGAAGTGCCTTCTCTGAGATGGCTCCTTCCCCCTTGCAAAGGGACACCCCCCCCCCCATGGTTCATTGGGGCAGACACTGCTGGCAAATCAATGGCAGGATGGCAGGCAGGCATCCTCAGCAAGGCAGCTGCTGAGAGAGGCCCCTGTGCAGTCAGGCTTGCTGCAGCTCTCCTAGGGCACCTCCAGGAGGCCGAGCCTCCCCCCCTGCAGAGAGGCAGAGGGTTACTGAGGCATACCAGGCAAAAAGCCAGCTCTGGGGCCCCATTTGCCTCTCCCTCCCCAGGACAGATCAGCCTTTGTCTTCTTACCACCTGCTCCAAAAGAAGCCGGCCTTTTGTCTCTGCAGGCGCGAGGCTGGGTGCCAGAGTGGAGTCTTAGGTTCCTGGTACCCAACAGCTGCTGCTCATCAGTTCTGCATACGCCTGTCTGGAGGGCTCTTCTGAGGTGGGGGGTGCTGACTGTACAGCCAGCAGTCAGGAAATGGCCCCCCTGGGAGGGGGTGGACTCTGGGGCTGAGCAGGCAGGAATTGCCCAGCCGAAGCTGCCATCGGTGGCAGAGCAGCCCCTCTGCAACCCACACCCAAGGCCCCCCTTTGCCAACAGGGAAGAGGCCAGGGGAGGGGGCCTTTCCCCGGGGGTGGTGGTCAGTCCCCTGAGAGTGGTGCTAGGAGCCTTCCTCCTCCAGGTGGCTCCCACTGGACAGGCAAGGAGCCATGGCTGAAGCTGGTGAAGTGCCACCCTTCCCTGGTGAACTAGGAGGCAGCTGTGAGGCTGCCCCCTTCCTCAGTGCCCCGTTTTGTCATTTCAGAGCTGACCCAGGAAGCCCCAACACTGGAGGCGCAGACCCCCATCAGCCTCTCCACGCATGGGCGGGCGGAAGCACCCCGCAGCCCCCCAGCTGAGGAGGAAGGAGGGGCCCCAGTCCCCACGGCAGGGCTGCTGCAGGTCGCAGAGCGTCGGCGTAAGTACAGGGCTAGGCGGGGGGAGGTGGGTTGGGCTTCATGAGGCTTCCAACAGAGGAAGATCTTGAGCTCCCTCACCCACCCACCCACCCACCCGTCCCTTCTCAGAACCCCTGAGCAGCGTTTCGTCTCTCGAGGTGCACTTCGACCTCCTAGACCTCACGGAGCTGACAGACGTGTCTGACCAAGAGCTGGCCGAGGTCTTTGCTGATTCCGATGAGGAGAATGCAGCCCAAGAGCCCCCGGCTGGTAGGTGACCCCTCCAGAATCGTGTGTGTGTGTGTGTGTTTGATGACAGGGCATTCAGTGTCAAGCATATCCTCTGCTGTGAGTGACAGCTGAGGCACTGCTGGCACCAAGACTTCCTTGCTTGCTTTTGGGGGTTGCCCCCTGCTGCCTTTGGCTCTGCTTGTCCCACCTGACCCTCCAGTGATTGTAAGGGGGAAACTATGGAAGGACTCTCCCCTCCGACCATGGTAAAGGGGTCACACATACAGCTGAGTGCAGCCACTGTGGGAGTTAAGCAGGACCCCTGAACGTCAGGGGTCAAGAAGCTCAGAAATGATTTGTGTGTGCAAAAGTAGAGCTTTGCTCCCTCCTGGGGGATTCTGTGCCCCCTTCCCCATGCAAACAGGTGCCTTTCTCCGTAGATGGGGCTGAGTGGGGAGCTAGAGCTGCTGGGCAGCCTCCATTCGGTGGAGGGGCTAAAGGCAATCCCTCCCCTCCTATTCCCGCACAGGACCACATCCCCACTCGACCCCCAGAGCCGGCTACCTTCGCTCCCCCTCCTGGACAAGGACAAAAGCTGAACCGGGGCGCGAGAAGAAGCACCTAGGCGATTCCAAGCTCCGAGCTGAGGCTTTCCTGCCTGTGGAAAAGCCAAAGGAGGAATAAGTGGGGGGAGGGCAGGAGCCCCTCCCAGGTGCCAATCTTCACTCTTGCACTGTCCGTCATTTGGGACCTTAAGGCACCTGTTCATTCCTCCTGCGCAACTGAGACCTTTGCAAGCTGCGCCTTGTGCCAAGAGCCCCCCTTCCCCCTTGCCCACCACTGAATTTGCCCATCTCCATTCAGACCCCAGCAGACCCCCCCCCCCCCCCGCTGGGCTTCCCATTTCCTGCAGGCACTTTGAACCTTCCACCGCTCCTTTGGTCGAGAAGGCAGGCTGAGTGGGGGGTGCTCTCCCAACCTTATTTGGGGAGGCTGGGGGTGAGAGCTGCCGAAGCCCGAAGGAGGAGGGGCGACTTCAGCCGTGTGCCTTGAGTGCTGCAGGGCTGAGCCAGGAAGCTCCTCTGCCAAGGCAAGCAACCCATGATACCAAAGGAACCGAGGGGTGAACACAGCACCATCTCTGGGGCACTGAAGCCGCAAGAATCCCAGAACTTTGCTCCGCTCCAAGCACACATCGTCTCCAATGGCCTTAACTCTTGCCCATTGCTCCACAGCTTTGTGCAAAGTGCACAGCACCAACACAACTGGCCCCAACTTCAGCTGGGCTCTAGGATATCTCCCTGGAGCCGATGCCCACCTATGTTGCAGCAGAGTGCCTTCCTCAGCCGAAAAACCTTTCTCAAGAGGAAGCTGGCCGGGGGTGTGGCGTGGCACGGCTGGCAAGGCACAGACGGCTGTTGTAGTTGCTCATCAACCTTCCTGGTGCTCAAGAGAGCTGAGCCAAGCAAGGAGAAGCAATGGGCGTGAAGCAGGATCCCAGGTGCTTCCAGAGCCCCCACCTGTGACCAGACCCTTTGAGAGGAAGAGCGAGAGTGGGTCAGGCTTCTGGGGGACAGCAGAGACCTTCTCCCCCCGTCTCCCCCTATCAGGAGGGCCTCCAGGGAGCTGGAGGAGAGCCAGCCAGCAAGGCTCCCATGAGTTTGCCTTCTCCCTTTAGTCACTGATCCTCCAAGGCACCCGTTAGTTCAGCCTTCACCAGTTCGGAGTTCTTCATGACCTTCCCAAAGAGTGGGACAGGGGACAGGGGGGAGGGGGGCTACAGGGGCAGACTCCGAGCACAGTGTCCCTCCCCACCCTCTGGATGCACTCGGGCCTTTTGCCTGCCTGACTCAGGACAGGGCAAGAGTTTGCATTGCTAACTCAAGTCATTTACTTCAGCCGAGAAAACACCATACAATCTGATCTCGGTTGCTATTAAGCCCCGCCTGCCAGGGAGCACAGCTTTAGGGGCAGGTGGCTGTTCTTGGCACTATCAGGAAGGGGCCTGGCTGGTGCTCTGCCACCCTCTCCTGCCCTGTTTTTGCAGCTCTTGCCCAGCCTTCCCCGGACTGCTGGACCAGGATGGGCTGCCCAGCCTGCACCCCTGGCCTTGTTCATTCAGTCAGTCTGCGGTCTCTTCTTCAGCAGCAACCAGCCCAGGAGAAGGCGCCTCTAGTAGAGCAGCAGAGGCACCAGGGACAGGCAGCCACTCTAAGCTGCCAGAGACAGGAGACATCCTCGCTGTGGCCAGCCAAGATGCCTGCCTCGCTTCCCTTTGCTTTTTCTTGCTGCAGCTGCTCTCCGGGGCCAAGAACGGGGAGAGGCTCTGCGGATAAGACCTCCCAGTTCAGGGTCACTTGGGCTTGGAGAGACCCGTCTGGCTGGCTTGGAGAACAGCTCCCAAGGCCACCCGTGTTACATCCAACATGAAAACCAAACCCCAGGAAGGCAGCTCAGACTTGTTCTCGGTGGGGCTTTTTCCCAAACCAGAAAAATAAAAATTCCCCTGGTTGGTAGCAAGAATGGCTTCAGCTCTCCATCTCCTTTAGGGCCACCCAGAGGCACTGAAGCAAACTTTTTCAATGCAAATGTCAAAAGGGGGGTGGGGAGAGGCCACCCCTAGGCAACAATTTCATCTGGATTCCTGGATAGACATGTAGGCAGGGATCCCCCTGGCACAAAAGGGCCAAGCTGCTCCTTTTCTGAGGGGCAACAGGGATGGCCCAAGCAGAAGTCCTGGTCCAAAGGCCAATCAGCAACCCTCAACCCCCCTCCCCCCAGCCCAGTCCCAGAAGAGCATCCTATGCAGGTCCAAGTTTGGAGCGGCCACCTCCTCCCTTGCGGAGCAGCACAACAGCCCCCATTGTCCTTGCAGGCTCTGCTGAACCTTGGCCACATCCTGGCTGCATCGGGGATGGACGCCCCAGTCTTCTTGACATTCCAGGCTGCATGTTGGGGTCAAGCACAGATACACCGAGTACCAATTGTTGGCTTTTCCTCAGCTAGACGGCGTCAGCCTCTTGTGCAGCAATGGAGCAAACCCCTTACAAGATGATACAGCTACCCTCGCCTGATTACGTACAGCTGCGCAATAAAAGAGAGACGCTTGCTGTTGGCCTAATGGTTAGGGCACCAAGGAAGTAAAGCCCAATGCACAAGGAAAGGGGTGCACATTTGCATTCTAAACACCAAGGAGCACTTTCTTGGGTCCCAGCATCAAGGAAAGAATGGCTAAGCTCCCAGGAGGAAAGCAAGATCTTCACAAGGGCAACCAACTCGAGTTTTTTTTTGCAAAGCAAGGTCCGCCTGGGATCTCACCAATACTCCACCCAACCAGTCTGGTGTCCTCAGTACTTGGAACCTCCGTCTTTGTTGTATTCCTTCCGTGCTCTGCGTTCCCCCTATTTTACCCCCCACCCCTTTGGATTAAATTCTGCCCGTACTTGTACAGCACCCCTCTGCTACCTCCGATGTTCTGGTGATTAAAGTTGTTTCAAATGGTCTCTGTAGGGTTTTTGCTCCCCCTGGTCCTTTTCAGGCAGTGGGTCAGTGCATACACTGAGAAAGGAAGCCATAGCAGGGAAGCATTTTCCACTACTGATCAAGGTGACCTCTGGTAGCTTCTAAAGTAGACAGGGCCATGCAAGTCAGGAAAATGATCTTGGTTTAAGGTAGTTTCTTTTACTCCAAGCCAGGACTCACCCAGACACTGCAGGCAGAAAGCTTCAGGGCTGGGGGATGCCTGCATTTCTCCAGGCAGAACATCTGTGAAAACATGGGAAAAAGGCATTTGGGCTTAAAGACTGTCGGTCTGGATGGACCACAATCCAAGTCAGTACAAGGCATGTTGATAGATCTCCCGGGGACTGGAAGGCGGGGGCAGACCTTCCCTTCTGCAGCTTGGAGATGGTGGGGGGGGGATTGATAAGGTGGCAGTAGCACAGGAAAAGGCAGAGGACAAGCGGCCCCACTTGGGCCTGAAATACCAGGTCCACATCAGACAGGCTTCGCGGGTAGAGCCCTGCCGTTGTGGAATACCTGGAGTCTGAGTGGAAATTGCGAGCTATACACTGGAGCAACTTTCCGGCTGGCCTTGTCAAGCCAAGAGCAGAATTCAGTCTGACACCCCGACTGCTACCTGCAGGAATCTGGCTAGAGCAAAACCTATGCCAGCTGGAAATCAAGACGTTTGCTCCTCAGCCTTTCTTCTTTTTAGTGGAATATAAATATTGTCTCCAAGACGCATTCCTTTTTTTCAGGACCAAAATTCCCCCCTTCTTCTGAACTAGGATGGATAACCTCCCAAAGTATCTCCAGGAATGTCTTCAAAACCTGGTGGCCTCAATCAGGACGTTTTCAACTTCCTGTAATATGTCAGTGTCAGAACCCCAAACGATCAGAATCTATGCAAGGGGAGTGGTGCCTCGATGGCCATCACTCGTGACTCTGTTGAAAGAAGGGATGATTCGGTGAGCAGGCACACGACCCAGGTGACATATAGAGGGCAGGGCCAGGAGACTCGAACGGGAGATGCTGTCGCCCAACATCCTCCCTCGTGGCTGTCAGCTGGGTCACTATACACATAATAGCTAAAGCTACCAAAAATGGATTTTTTCAGGTAGCCACTTTCAGAGGATGAAATATTTTTGGAGAGAGAAGAGAAACAACATCGAAGGCAGCCTACAACCCTATCAGACTTCAATATTTATACTTAGCTTTATTTAAAGTGATTTTAGTGCTTGTGATAAATTACTGTGGTGTAAAGAGTCCCATAGTCTCTTTTCAAGGCTGACAGAGACTATTCTATAATTCACCCAGTCCTGGCAATTGCCATTGTGTTGAGCTAAGGGGATGGGAAAGGAAAACCAAGTCTCTGTGTCCATCTCCAAAGCAGATGGTCAAAGGAACGACTTTCCAAACGCTGCCATTTTTACAGCCTGCCCAGCTGCGGCCATTGTCTTTGCTGAACTATCATAGTCTGTAAAGAGGCCAGAAAAGCAGGGATGGTATTAGCCAGTTACTGAGCAGGGGGTGGGGGGTGGCACCCATTTCCCATAAAGTCATTTGGCAGCCCCTTCCCCACCTCTGCCAGTTACAGCCAGGACCAGACTCCCTCAGGGAGAGCCTCGGAGTTGGAAACTCAAGGAGAATCTTGACCTCTGTCCAGAGGTGGGAGGGGCAGCATCCTTCTCCAGCCTGGGCACGGCGTTCCCATCTGGCCCTCTTCTGGCAGTCTGAGCTGCTTCCCTCCAAGAAGGACAAGTAAGTCACAGGCCTGCTGGGAACTCCGTGGTGCGGCCGAGGTCTCTTCTGTTTCAGAGAAGCCACACTTAGGCTTCTGGCTCCATACTGCGCTCCCTGAGCAACGACTCTTTTCTGAGACTGAGTCGAGCGCACTTGGGGCATGTTGTGGAGTTGTCGTAGAAGCAGTCCCTGTGAGAGGAAAGACAAAGGGCTTGTTAGCTTCCTTCTTCTGGAGGAGCCACCCGCCCACTGGCTTCCACAGAAGCGGCAGCAGCTGGTCACAAAATGTCTGCACTCACCTGTGGAAGACGGCTGAACAGTCCATGCACATTGAGGTGTGGCTGTCGAAGGGGAAGAGCACGTCTCCCTCCTTGCAGAGTTCACACACAAAGCCCTTTGCTTGGCACCGCTGTGAGGAGAAAAAGGGAAGGTGGTGAGCCACGGGCCAACCCAAGACCCTCCATGGATGTGCCCTTCACATGACTACCAATCCTGGGCTGCCAAATACCTGCAACCCTCATATAGATAGACATTTAAGTGGTGATGGGGGGGGGGGGATTTTCCAACACAAAATATTCTAGAGAAAAGGAAAATTAATAGAAGAAAAGGAAACATGGTGAGCTCAACACGACAAGAGATATTTTTAGAGAGTTTTGAAAACCAAAAATCAGCAAGCTCAGAATCCTGCAAGAATGATTGTGATGCACCTCCTCTTCTTGTGCGCCACTGAATCTGGGGGGGGGGGGCTCCATCTGAGCCTCTTCTGGATGTTACCTTATAGTTCTGGGCTTAAAAACACGTTTTGGACCCTTTTGCTAGGCAACAGCTCCTGCGCGTTTCCACCAAGATCATCTTCCTTTCTTTCTACACCAGTTTATTCTTATTCTTATTCTTACTCAACCCCTGCAGCCACTGGCAGCCAGGACAAGGCCTCTCAGGGCCTCCTTGCAGCAGCAGCCTCTCTACCAATGCTTGGCTGCGGCTTCCCGCCCAGCCAGCCTTGCCTCACAGTCCAGTTTGATGTGCTTGGCAAAGAGCGTGTGGATCTCCGTCAGGGAGCAGCTGAGCCGCCCGGCGTTGACGTCCACCAGGTCTTGCAGGGAGTACATGTCATCGTTCTCCACAAAGTGCTGCCGGTCCTGCAACTGGAGGGAGGCACAGGAGTTTAGTTTGCCTGCGAGGGGGGGGGAGCGAAGAGGTGGGGAGGAGGGTGAAGGCTGAAAACCGGAAGGGGGTTCACACTCACTCCCACCTGGGGAATTCAAGCACCCCCAATCCAACTGCGCCCACCCCCTGCTTTGAAGAGGTCCACGGGCTCCGGATGGACAGCTGCTTTCTCTGACCTGGAGCAGCAGCCGAGCTTCCATGGCCTCCTTGCAGGTGATGAAGTACGGCTTCATGAGCAGGATGTCCTGACGCAGTTTCTGAAGGGGGGGAAAGAGACCGCTGGCTGGAGAACCTGACCAAGAAGTGGTTGCCCACCCACGGCTCTGTTTCCGGGTGAGAACACCAGCTCAGGACTCGATGCTTTGGAATCCCAGGGCCCTCTGAGCCCCCCGAGGCGTTCTAGGCCCACTCCCAGCCTTTCCAATACTCACCCGGATCTCTACCAGCTCCTCAACGTAATTGAAGAGAAGAGGGTTGATCTCCCGCAATTTGAGGACTGGCCGGGACACCATTAGCACCAAGTAGCGCATGCTACACCGAGAGACCTGAAAATCGCATTGGCCTCCTGAAGCAGACAGTAGACACACACTGCAGGGAAGGCCTGCGACTAAATGGCCCCGCAGGGCCTCAGAGGGGATCCGGCCTGCCCCACTCCAGGATGAATGGAGCACTCTGTGTGAGACGTGGTCTGGGCAGGGCAGTTCCTCTCTGCCTCCCCTGGACAATGGGGCTCCATAGAAACCGTCCTAACTCACATAGTGAGGAAGACGGTAAGCGCCCAGTCCAATGAAGACACGTGTGTATTTCATCCGAGCGCAAGACACGGAAGGGGGTGCTCTACAAAGCTTCTCACATCCCATCACTCCTGTTCTGCCCCACAGTCTAGGCAGCTCGTTTTCTCCAACCAGGTGCCCTCCAGTTTGGTCTGGACAACCATTCCACATCACCTTAGCTGGCTAGGATGTCAGGGGAGGATGGGAATTATGGCTCAACACAACTGAAGGACACCAGTGTGTCCTTCAGACTGGTTCTTCTGCTGGTCCACAGAACGTGACACAGGCAGATTTCATTCCCCACACCAGGCTGTGTGGAAGAGCTCCCCAACTTCAGACCTCACGTCACCTCCTCTAGTTGGGGGAAACTTCATCCACCCCAAGCTCCGCTTACCTTGCGGGGCTCAAAGTCCCAGTTGTGGATGACCCTGGCAGGGATGACAGCTTGATCATTCCAGTGGCAGCTGCTGCAGTAATAGAGGCCTGTGTAGTCACACTGCCGAGCCTCACCTGGGATTCCACCTATAGCAGGAAGAGCAGAAGTCAGGTGAGCAGTGAGGCATGGAGTCCTTGGGAAGCTGGGCAGGTCCCAGTTACTATGGGGTCTCCCCCGCTCCATCAGTGCCCTCCAGAAAGGGCAGCCCAAAACTCACATCTGCTCACGAGACCCAAGTGGCCAGAAACGGCCCTTCCCAAGCCTTTTGCTGCAGAAGAGCCTGGACTGAAGCGAGGCCTCCTGGCGAGCGAAGTAGGAGCTCCGCCTGGGGCAGCTTCCTATTCAGTCTCCCTCCTCCCTGCCAGAGCTTACGGAGAGAGATGGGTGCCCGGCACTCGGCACAACGGTAGTCCTGGCTGTCCAGCCCCGTCTCCGGGCAAATGCTCAGCTCGTATTCGGCCTGGTGGCTGACTTTGGAGCGCACGCATGGCTTGGTGACGAGGTTCAGGCACTTGCTATGGCAGCGATAGGAACAGCCTGGGAGGAGGGCGAAGGAAGCACCACGCTGACCCGAGCCCAGAGACTGGGCAGGAAGGCTAGTGCCCCTCCTTGCCAGAACCAGGCTCTGTAGCAAGGCGGGAGGAAGGGGGGAATGCTCACCTGTGCAGGTGTACCAGGTCTGGAGAAGCCCCCAGATGACGGTGCTGCACTTGTCGCAGGTTTGCTTCACTCCCTTGCTCTTCTCCTTGTAGAAGCGATGCTCTAGGATCACCCTGATGTTGGGCTCATCCTCACTGGGGTCCTGTGGGGGGTGGGGGTAGGGGGGTGGTTACAACCCTTTGTCCTCTGAGCCAAAAGCCCCCTCCAGAACCCCCGGAATCGTGGCGGGGCCATTCAGCTAAGGGGAGGGGAGAGGAAGCCCTGCCCTCTCCTTGGAGGGCTGCAAGGCCTCCCGAGAATCCAGATGTTTGAGAACTGCCGCCCACCATCCACCCCCGGGCAGCAGCTGAGGATCACCCTCCCCGGCCTGTGCTGCACCTTCAGCTCCTGGAGCCGTAGGCGCAGGTGGATAAGCCGCACCACGGCGTCCTTCTGCTTCTCGGAGTTATCCGGCAACTCCAGGATCCTCTGCTTCCACTCCTCGATGGCCTGCCGCAGCTGCTCCACATCTGAGGCCAGGAACAGGCCCTGCTGGGGAAGAGCCACCGGCCAGCGCAGGGGCGCCCAGCCTCTGCTAAGCTGAGAGCTTCTGGCCTGCAGGTGTTTCACATTATAGCCTCTCCCACCCACCCCCACCTTTGTACAGGCATTTTTCAGCCTTTGCAGCAGGCCGAGCCCCACAGGCTGCCTTCTTACCACAGGGCGCGAGAAGTGGTCCTCTGCCAGGCCCAGGTCCATGGTGCGCTCTGAGCAGTGGAATACCGGCTCCTCCGGGGACAGTCCCAGATTCACATCTACATGGGGAGGGGGAGAGAAAAACCACTCGGCCTTCAGACAAGCCTGCTTGGCACGCAGAGCACTGCCAGGAGAGCTCTGCCTCGGAACAGGGCAGAAGAACGGAGAGTCCCGCAATCTTGGTCTGCCAGAAACTATCTGGGCTCCGTGTGCCTGGTCTGCTAGAGCCCAAGGTCACCGCTTCTCCCTTTCTGTCGCCTGAAGCCCCCGGGCTTGGCAAAACTAGCAGCTGGTCAGTGGCATCTACTCCTGACCAGCTCCAGCCATCACAAGGCCAGTCCCAGGGGACAGAACCAGATTCAAAGGCGGAAGAGGCCCCAGGACAGCCCATTTCTCTATTCAGCTGCAGCAAAGGCCTGTGAGCAAGCAGGCCTCTCCCACGGGACAGCAGCCATCTGGGACTCAGAAATCAAGGTTGCCAGGGCAGCTTTGGGATTTTCAAGGCAGAGCTGGAGGCTGACTTGGAGCCCCCCCAAGGCTGACGTTGATGGGAAACCCTTGGCCGTGGAAATCCTGCCCTCAAGTTTCCAAAGGGTATTGATCCAGTCTTCAGGGGAAAGGATGGGAAATCCTCCTGCACCCAGTCTAGATCCTGTGCTGCCGAGTCCTTCTGAAGGACAAGGCGAGGAAGGGGACAGCTCACCTTTCTGAGGAAAGTCCTCTCTGGGCCCGGCTGTCTTCTGCTCCTGCCAATTCTGCAGCGGGTCTTTGTTGAACGGGTTGAGGTGGCCCTGCCGGAAACGGGCCAGCTTCTCATCATATTCCATAGCAGTCCAACCTGCTGGAAGCCAAAGTCAGAGGGAAGAGCCTGAGCCATCATCAAAGCATGCCTATCCCAGGGTCAGGGTCTCAGCCTGCCAAAAGCTACTGGAGTGTTTCCCATACAATTTCAGCTCCTCCCAGCCTCTCAAGCCTCGTTGGCATCCTCGGAAGGCAGAAAAGCCGGTTCTGCCAGCTCAGATGGTCCCCAGGTGCTTTGTAGAGTCATGAACACATCTAGCTGGACAGCTGAGAGCACTTTCTGGAGCAACATGGTTGCTGCCAGTCATATCCTAGGAATGAGTAAGAATTTCAGAAAGAAACCTCTCAAGAAAACAACCAAGCTTAGAGCGCACCAAGGACTCCACCCTTCTGGAAACAGTAGAGCTGCCGAATCCTCCCCCCACCTCCTCCTGATCTATCAGCTCTGAGCTATTTGGGGTACAAAATCTCCCAGCCCCAGTTGCAGTGACCCGTGATCTTCAACTTTGGGAACTCTAGCAGACACAGCCCCCCTCCAGGCAAAGGATTCTGAGGTTACTTGCACAACTACCAAGGCGGATTTAGGGAGCTCCAGGCTGAGGGAAGGCAAAGAAGGGAAGGGAGATGGATGAGTCTGAAGCCAGCACAGCATGAAGGTGCCCTCGGTTGCTGTCCCTGAACAGCACAAGAGACAGAAAAAAAGAGGAGGGGGGCTATGCTCCTGTGATTGGGGGGTCTGAAAAAGGACATTCCATCCCACCACGTTTCCTAATTCTCCTATTTGACTCTTTTGTTCTACCTCATTTCCTCAAGGAGGCTTTAAAATGACATCATCCAGAGCATCCCTGCTTTGCTGAGCCTATCAGCTGGGTGGATTCTCACTAGAAAGTCTCCCTAATGATAAGGATGGTGGTGATGATGATGATGATGCTTTTATCCCACCCACCCATGGGGAGGGGGGAGGTTGCATTGAAGGCCCTCCTGTTTCCACCCAGTGTCTGCTGAATAACTTTTCAGGGAGGCCACTATCAGCTCAGCAAGAACCTGAGTTTTTAGAGTTTTTAAAGAGCATGCCTCAGGAATGCCAGAAAGGAGAATTAGAATTAAACATGAAAAAATGTTTTGCTGAAAGTCTTGAATTTGGTATCAAATCACCACTTTGAGACCCTGGGACTTAAAACCATTAAAAATAATGAGACTAAGCCTGGATCACTACTGAATAAATGTGGATCTTTGAACTGTGGATATTGGTTTAATTGGACATCAGGATAAGCCATAAGCCAGGGCTGGGTTCACATATCACACAAAGACAAAACCAAGCAAGCCCTGTAAAGGCTTAACTGTTGAACTCAGCTCAGGGTAATCATGCCAGTATCTCTTTCCGGATCCCCGGAAGAAGCCTGCCCTCATCCTGGCCTGTAGACCAGGGGGAGAAGCCGAAGCTTTCGGTCAGTATGTCAGCCTGCTCCCGCTACAGCCCGAACGGCCAAAAAAGGGCCCAAATTTGGCTCCCAAACAGGCCACTAGCAGACCCCTCGGAGGACAGCAGGCCGCACGAGGAGGCGGGGCGGAGGGAGGGCAGGAGCTGATTCAAGGGGGCCGGGGGGCGGCCGGGGGGCACGCAGGCTTTGCATAACAACGGGAACCGGTTCAGGTAAAGCGCACGAGGGGCTCCTCCTGCATTTAACCCGGTTACTTTGCTCCCTGGGCTGCCACTTGGCCGGGCCTGCTGAGCCGGAGCGGGGCGCCTCGCGCGGACCTGCCCCGCAGCAGCACCAGACGGGGGGGGGGGCATTGCGGAAGCGGCCCCGGGGCAGAGGGAGCCAAGCGGCCAGACCGACGGCGCCCAACCGGAGGCCGCCGGATGCGGAGAGCCCCCAGCGCCAGGCAGCCCGTTCCGGAGGCCGCCGCGAAGGCCGGGAGCCGCGGGAGCCCCGCCGCAGAGGGGACGGGTCGGAGGAGCCGCCGCCGCCCTTACCTGCGCGCCCATGGGGAGGGGAGGGGCCCGGCCCGACCCGGTCGGCTGGCCCGGACGCGCCGCTTCCTCCGCTCGCTACATTGCAGCCCGCGGCCCGCTGAGCCGAGCGCGCCCACAGCGCCCGCGCTGCCCGTTGCTGCCCCCGCGCGGTCGGAGGAGCGCGGCCGCTCGCGGAACTCGCGTGCCGCCTCTGCGGCCGGGCGCCCTGCCGCGCCCCCCCACCCCGCTGCCGGTTCTCCTGCCGGGACCCCCCGCCGCCTGGACGGCGGCGCGAAGGGCCCTGCCGGGCTGAAGAGCCCCGAGGGCTTCGCGTGGCCCCTTCTGCTCCCAGGGCCGACTGGATCTCCGCCCGCCTTTCCCATTATTACAACGCTCGAGGCGGCTTTAAACAATGGGAAAAGCCGGGCACGAAATACCAGGCAGACGGAGGCCAGGAGCCCGCCCGAAGTGCGCTGCCCCCGGGCCCCCCTTCCCTTTCCCGTCTCCTCTGAGCGCGACTCCGGCCGCCCTCCGGCCCTTCGAGAGGGGCCCACGGCCCGGGGGCCGCTAAGGGCTCCCCGATGGGCGGGACCGGGAGAGCTGGGGGCCTGAGCAGGCGGGTGGGGGAGCCCCCTCCCCTGGTTCCTTATGCAGGTCACCCAGGCGAGGGCCGGGCGAGGCCCCCGGGGACACCCTCCTTCTTCTGCACGGAGGGGAGGAACCAGGTGCAGCAACGGCCCTGAATGGCACATCAGACCCAGTGAGGCAACCAGGGCTGCGCCTGAGGGGTCAACCTCCTAGCCTTGGTGCCCTGGTGGCACGCAGGTGACTCTGGCTCCAAGTGGCGCTTGTTGGGGCCTCCACGCTCAAAGGACTGGCAGCCACTGGCAGCAATTCTGTGCTCTGGAATTAAGGAAAAGCTCCATTTCGGGATCCTTGAGCTTGTTTTTTCAGGACATTTTTTTCATTAAAGCATGACCATCTTCCATTTGTTCATTTGAACAAAGCTGGGTCCAGGTCAATGAAGAAACGCGGTGGAATTGCCTACTTTGCAGGGACTTTCTGAGCATTTCCTTGGTTCCTTGAGGCAGTTACGTCTGTCTCTCTGAGGACAGGCTGCATTGCAAGTGCCAAGAAGCAAGGGCCTGCAGCAGACACCCCCACCCCCCCTTTGCTATCAGTTCAAAAGCTGAGTTGACTCCTCCGGGGGAGGAAGTAGGTGCGGTAGTGTTACTTTTATAGCTTTAGCAAGGAGTTCTTTTTCCTTCGTTTTCATTCAGGCAAGGCCTTGAGTCTTGGGTTATTGGTGGAGATAGTATTTGCAGGGAGGAGGGGTCAAAAATGGTCCTTGTGACCACACAACTTAAGCCCCACCTCTTTTTTTATATATGTGCATCACTTGCAAGTGCCATCTTCATTTTTTTGACCCCACTGCAAGGAACCTTTCTGGTGCTGCAGCCATGCCCCCCCCCCCGGGTCAGAACTACAAGGAAGACAGCTGGATGCCGTTGTTAGTGGCATGCGTATGGCAGAGGTCCCCAACCTTTTGGGCACCAGGGATCGGTTCTGTGGAGACAGGTTTTTCCACGGACCAGAGGGTGCATGGTTTGGTGTGCTGCCTGCATCTCACAGATGGGGCTTGTTTGTGCGGACTGGTTGCTGGCATGCCGCGGCCTGGCACCGGTTCACGGATGGGGGGTTGGGGACCCCTGCATTAGGGTCCCCATGGGAAGAAGTGGGACATCAGCTCTACCTGGATGGAGGGAGGGAGGGGCCTGTTGGGCACTTTGCCAGAGCCCCGGAAGTGCTCTGTGCTCACTCACCCCCCCCTCCTGCCTCACTAAATAAAGACAGGCCAAAAGGAAAGACTTGCACCCAGAAGCTTCTCCATGTTTTCCTGAAACAGATTTGCACGGCTCAAGGCGGAACGCGCCTCATTGTTTTGTTTAAGGACAGCCCTAAGAAATAGGAGCAGCCATGAGCAGAAAGGGCTCTTTACTCTTTCTGGGAGAAGCTTCCCTGAACCCCAGAGTTGCTGTTTGCCAACTGTCAACCTTTCTGGGCTCAGTGGACCAGGGAAAGGCACCTCGTTGTGTCTCTGAGAGTGAAAAACAGGGAATGGCCAGCACAGACACACCCGCAAGTTCACAGGCTGCAGCAAAGGGAGGCAGAGAAGGTGAGTGGCCTTTTGTGCCCTCCCAGCTGAGCCTGGGAAGAGCTTCTGGGCATAGTGCTGCGTTGTCCCTGGCAGCAAAACTGAATGAGCCTCAAAGAGCGGCCGGGAAAGAAGGTGAGACCTTGTGCAGGTGGGCAGCCTTCTCACCTGCAGGACATGTCTAAAGGCCATTGAGAACATGGCAGCCACTGCTAGATATGCCACCGTCTGCATGATGTTCCGAGGGGAGAGATGCAATTGCATATGGAGTAACCCACGCACATATCTCAGGCCTGTTCATCCAAGCCAAACGTCGACGTCAAGGTTGCTGCTGCTAACCCTTCTGATTTCCCCCTATTGGTACTTTGGCCCGGCCCCATGGCAGGCCCAGAAGAGACAGATTGTGATCCCTTTGCCCTTCAAGGGGATCCATCCAGCTGTGACCACCTGATCCCTCTGGCTTGTCTCCAGGATCTGTCAGGCAGCCCTTCTATCATGGCCCTACAAGGAATGGTCTTCAGCAGTCCAGCATCTTCTTGCTTGTGGCCACAAGCAAGTAAAAAGACAGCTCACCCAAACAGGGACCAAAGGAATGGACATCGCACGCGTCCATATTTGTTGATCCAGCCACCCAATCTCTAAGTGGTAGAAAGTGGACAGCCCACAAGCTGGACAGCAATAAATTTATTAAGTATTCCAAAACATAAAAATAGACACAGACCAGTAAAAAGTAAAGAACAGGGTCCTTGAATTTATCAAAGTGACAAACAGAAGGAATTGCAATAACTCATAAAACTGAAGATTGGGGAGCAGGAAGAAAAGATGGTCAAATACTGAATTTTTAAGTTTTGGAACGCTTGAATCAGAAGTAACTAGAAGCCGGTTGTCTAAAACTCAGCAGATGGGAAAGTTGGCAGATGAAGACGAACCAGGGGGTTGTGTCAAGGGTGGCTTCTTCCCAAGGAGTGCAGAGTGTTGCTCCCAGCCAGGCCCTCACTTGGCACCCTGGGCTTCAGATTCTTCCTCGTCATCTTCATACATCTCCCCTTCCTCTTCAGCGGTGGCATCCTGGTACTGCTGGTACTCGGAGACCAGGTCGTTCATGTTGCTCTCCGCCTCTGTGAACTCCATCTCATCCATGCCCTCCCCAGTGTACCAGTGGAGGAAGGCCTTGCGCCGGAACATGGCTGTGAACTGCTCTGAGATGCGCTTGAAGAGCTCCTGGATGGCGGTGCTGTTGCCAATGAAGGTAGAGGACATCTTCAGGCCACGGGGCGGGATGTCACATACAGCCACTTTGACATTGTTGGGGATCCATTCCACAAAGTAGCTGCTGTTCTTGCTCTGGATTGCGAGCATCTGCTCGTCCACCTCCTTCATGGACATGCGTCCTCTGAAGACTGTGGCCACAGTGAGGTAGCGACCATGGCGGGGATCGCAGGCAGCCATCATGTTCTTGGCATCAAACATCTGTTGGGTGAGCTCAGGCACAGTCAAGGCTCGGTACTGTTGGCTCCCGCGGGCCGTCAGGGGAGCAAAGCCGGGCATGAAGAAGTGGAGGCGAGGGAAGGGAACCATGTTGACCGCCAGCTTGCGCAGATCTGCATTGAGCTGCCCTGGGAATCTCAGAGAGGTGGTCACACCACTCATGGTGGCAGAAACCAGATGGTTGAGGTCTCCATAGGTTGGGGTGGCCAACTTGAGGGTCCGGAAGCAGATGTCATAGAGGGCTTCATTGTCGATACAGTAGGTCTCATCTGTGTTTTCCACCAGCTGGTGGATAGACAAGGTGGCATTGTAAGGCTCTACCACAGTGTCAGATACTTTGGGGGAAGGCACCACGCTGAAAGTGTTCATGATCCGGTCTGGATATTCTTCACGGACTTTGCTAATAAGGAGGGTCCCCATGCCAGATCCTGTGCCCCCACCGAGGGAGTGAGTGAGCTGGAAGCCTTGCAGACAGTCGCAGTTTTCACATTCCTTTCTCACCACGTCCAAGACGGAATCCACCAACTCAGCACCTTCTGTGTAGTGCCCCTTAGCCCAGTTGTTCCCTGCACCACTTTGACCTATGAAAGAAGAATTGAGATATCTGTTTGGTGGGTAACCAGCCTGCATTTTTCCTTGCCTAAAAATACTTGATTCTGCCTCAGAACCCAAGAAGGCCTTGAAGAACAATCTTAGTCTGAGTTGGAGCTTGTGTGCCTCTCACCACCTTTGGCCTAGCTGGTTCCCCTTCAGAATCACCAATCCCACCAGGGCCTTTCCATTCTTTCTGACCCAGAGATGCAATTCCACCAATCCCAGTAGCCTGAACAAAACAAATCGAAATAGAAGCTGTGCCATCTCCAGGGTGTAGAACCGGGTGCTAAGTTGAGGGAGAGAGGGAAGAAGATCCGGACAAGAGGAGCAAAAGAGGGACAATACCAAAGATGAAGTTGTCTGGTCTGAAGAGGTGTCCAAAAGCGCCTGAGCGAACACTGTCCATGGTGCCAGGTTCCAGGTCCACCAGGATGGCTCTGGGGACATATTTGTGAGCTGGAAAGACAAAGAACATTTTCCCTTGAGTGGACTAACCTAGACGGTTCATCGACCAAACAGGCACTTGCATTTATTCAACATGGTTCCTCCCTTCACTCCTCGAATGATCTATAGAGCTTAGTCCCTCCCCAAGTGCTTCATGCTGGCAGAGAACCAGCACAAGTTCCTTTGCCAAGAGTCGCACCAAAAACCCTACATATGAAGGCTCAAAGCATCTCATGCTCCTTGCCATCCCTTTATGCTTACTTCTACTGACAGTGCTATGCTCAAAAGGTGCCTGGCCAAATGACCCCCGTCCTGGGTTTGGCAACCCATGAGCCACATCCTTGTTCTCAATGCCAGCACAGTGTGGGCTAGATAAAAACGATTGTGAGGCCGCCTTTGTATAGACTTCATTTTCTCCCTGCTAGCGTTAAAAGTGCCTGAGGGAAAGACCTGATGTCAAATGGGAGGACCTATTTATCGAACGGGATGGTTGGCCTGTGTAATTTCCAAGAAAGGATCAGAGGGAAATCCTTGGAGTCAGAAAATACTGGTTAGGGAGGGAGCAGAGCTTACAGGAGGCTTCATTGTAGTACACACTGATCCTTTCCAGCTGCAGATCAGAGTCCCCGACATAGTTCCCACTGGGGTCTATCCCATGCTCATCACTGATCACCTCCCAGAACTGAGAAAAGAACAAGAGAATAAAAAAAATGAGACACATGATTGTGATATCTTCAACAAATAAGAATAGGAATCAGAGCATTACTAGATGATTTATTCTGCTTTTATACTTTGAAAAACATTCTAAGTTGTTTTCTGTTATGTCCGCCTTTTGCCAAACAACTCAATAGGCAACCTTTTCCCCACAGTCCCCCCCCCCCAAAAAAAACCTCAGAAGATTTTGCCCAATCGGCCAAGTCAATGACTTCTTCCCTAGGTATGCTAGCTGAGGGACCTGGCCAGGGTGCTGAAACTATCCCTTCTCCTTGAAGGCATTCCCAGCTCCTGGCATACATGGGGGCAGAGTGTGTGTGTCCTATCCCAGCCAACCAGGGAGGGAAGCTTAATTGCCATGGGGCTTCTCTTAGCCCTCAATGTGCTTAGCTGTAAAGGCACATCTGGCCGCAGTCCGAAAGCCAATTAGGCTACAACAACATGCTGAAAAAGGAACACGGCGTTTTGCCCTTGAAATCAGATCCAGGAGAACAGATCCATTTCTGCAAACTAATCCAATTGATAAATAAAGCTCTCAACTTCTGCGTATTGGTGCAAATACACTGGGATCAACAATCAGATGCGGACTGCAGCAGGAGCGTCACATGTTCCCCAGAGAGCCTTGAAGGGCAAGGCTCATCAGGATCCGGTTTCTAACACTTGGAACAAAAGCTCCATCTTGTAAACAAGGACTAAGCAGCGTTCCCACAGGTGACAGCCACAGCTTCTTTGGATGGAAATTTTATTGATTTAAAGATTCTGTTCTTTCATTGTGGAATTAGGAGCAAAGTGTAGGAGGCTGCGCCATCTCTAAGTGGTTTGTGGATCCAGCAAATGGAGCTGTGATTACTAGAGAGCCTTTCCTCACTGACAAGGTCAGGAACGGTGTGAATGTCCACACAACACAACTATGTCCCCTGTAGATGGAGTGTTGTACAAGGATGGAAAACTGCAGATCCAAGAGGAGTCTTCCAGATTTTTTTTTTAAGCGATAGGATTGTCTAAACTATCTTTTGTCTTTAGCCAGGGAGCCAAGAACCTCAGGTAGATTTGAGGACGAGCCTTTTTGTGAACTGGCCGGCTGCCTTAGCAGAGAAATCACATCTGATCTGGGCCGTGGAAGCCCAGCCAACACCAGGCTCAGCCTAGTGGATCACAGGCTGAGATATCCCAGTGGGATCAAGTCAGCCAGCTGAGGCCCAAGTGAGGGAGACAGGCTGAGATGGCAAACTGATGGCAGCTTCTTATGCAATTTCAGGGTGGCCTTCATAGAGTTGCAAGACATATTAAATGAAGAGCCGGTCACATGATAGGAATAAGTGGAAATAGTTGCCCTTGAGGAAATCATACCCTGTTCTGTGTCATGCAACAAAACTCCTGTGCTGGGACTGCACTGATGCAGGACTTTGGCCATAGGTCAAAATTGCCCCCCGAAAACTCCTCTTAAATCTCCTTACTGGGAACTGGGAACATGGAAAGGCCAATCTCAGTCCTGCATTGATCCCATTCTCAGTTACAGGATCTGTGAGTTTGCAATGGCTTATTCATCATAACTAGTATATGCATGAGGCTGCTTAAATAGCCCATGGAGGAAAAACCTGCTCTCCCCCCCCCCATCACTTTTCATGACAGGCTACCTGTCATCCTGGTGCATCTCATGGGGGGAGGGGATATTAAGATTATGTAACCTGGGTAATTTAAAGGGTGTCCCATGTAATTCGTTTGCAGTGAAGCTTAATTCAGAATTCGATTAGATCTCAGATTGAAGACTAGTATTCCATGAAATATTTCTCTCACTGAAGTTGGTAATACAAAATAATGTGTTCATAATAATAATGCTGCTTTTAAAAAAGTGTCTTTGTTGTGGAGCAAGATTTCCTTGCTGCAGAGCTGGGGCAAAGCACCCCCCCCCCCATATCCCAGAACAGCCCATGGAAGATTCAGCTGCTTTGTCAGAAACCAATCCTAGGGGTGGGGAGGGGGGAAGGAAAGCTGATTATTCATCGGGAGGCCCTGGGCTGTGTGGGGCTGGCCCCTCCCCACCAGGATAAAGGCAGGCTGTCCTTCCTCAAAGGAGGATGGGTTGGGAGGGAGGGCCGCCCCCCCCCCCCTGGGCTCAGCTGCCAAAGTGTTCCAGAGGCTGATTTGATTTCAGGCTGCTGTGCTCCTCCACCCACGGGGATAGGCAGAGCCTTAAGTGGCGAGATCTCACTGCAGGGAGGTGGCCTTCTTTTTATTCAGAGCAGGCACAAGTGGGGGGGGGGGTAGAGAAGGGGACTGGAGGGATGATTAGCCAGCTTTGTGGCACTGAGTCATGGCAGCTGGAGTCTCACCCTTCACAAAGCCTCAGCTGCCCTGCCTTCTCTTGGCAGAGCCTTCTTGGGATCCCTTCGCTCTCTGCCCAGAGGAAACCCCTTCCTCCCACCAGCAGCCCCCGTCCTGGCAGTGCTGGTCCTTTCAAGCAGTAGGTTCTCATTGGTCTCCCTGGCTCTTTGTCTGCTGTCCAGACACCTGCTGCCCTGGGCTCTCGGGAGTGGGAAGGGGCTTGGGGGGATGGGGAGTCCCCGCCTCAGTCGGCGCTGCCTGCCAAGCTGGGAAAGTCCTTCAAGGACTCTCCTTCCCACTTTGCAGCTCCCGAGATTGAGACGCAAGACAAAGTGGCCAACCCACCTTCATTCCGGCTAAGGAGAGAAAGGGAGACGCCCCTCCTCGGAAGACCTGAGGGGCCAGAGAGACGGAGAGCTCGCTGGAAAATTGGTGGCGGGGAGACGGGAGCCGATAGGACCAGGTACCCCTCGGCTTCTGGCCTCGCCAAGGTCGAGGTGTCCAGCACGGTCTTTGTTCTGGAGATTCGGGGGTCTTTCAGCTGCCGAGCGAGACCACTCCCCGCTTTGTCTTTGAGAGGCAGGGGGAGGGGGAGTCCCGCTTCGGCCACCCTTCAGCCCACGCCCTCCCCCCGGGCATCGCCCCAGGAAGCCAGGCTACAAGCAGCCGCGTCTTGCCAAACCAGGGCAGCCGGCCGCACAAACGGACCCGGGCCGGAGAGCGGGGCAGGCGCCTCTGGCGCACCCGAGCTCCCGGCTCCCGCCCCCTTTACCTTGGCTCCGATCTGGTTGCCGCACTGGCCCGCCTGGATGTGCACGATCTCTCTCATGCTGCACCGGCGGCGGGGCTGCGGCGGCGGCGGCGACGGCGGAGGGCTGGAGGGCGACGGGCAGCGGCGGGAGCGGCGGGCGCGGAGCGATTGGCGGAGGCGGCCGGGCTCTGCCGGCGGGTTTTATCGGGGGCGCCTGCTGCACCCGGGCTGGGCGCTGACGTCACCGCGGACGGCTCGGCCAATCCGGAGGCGCCGCTGCAAAATACTGCACCGGCTGCAGCATCAGGACCAGGCAGGAGGCGAGGCGGCGGCGGCGGCGGCGGCGCCGGGTTTGGCCCCTTGGGATCGGGCGCTTCGCCCCCTCCCCGCGTTACGCAGCGCGGCTCGCGCCAGGCTCTGTCTCCCCTGAGCGCGCGCCGAGGGCTTCCTCCTTCGTGTGCCCCCCGCCCCCCCCGCCCGTGCGAGAAGACGCCGGGCTTGCCCCTGGAGCTGGGTGCTGCTCGCGGCCTCCATCCGGGGGCTGGGAGGGTCGCTTTCTTTCAGCTTTTATGAAGCACTTTTTGGGAACGGCACCCGAGCAGTCCGGCTGCCTCGCGGCGGGACTCCAGCGTTTGGCCCGCGGCCCCGCCCTCCGGCTCTTCGCGGTCGACGACTGCCCGGCCCCGGGGCCAGGCCGGCGCGCCAGGGGGCAGCGGGCGAGGGGGCTTTTGTCCTAAGAAGAGCAGCTTTTCAAGGGGGAGGGGCGGAGCGCCGCGGGCAGGTCCGGAGAGGCGGGGGACGAAGCCCCGCTTGCCTGGAGGGGGGCAGAGAAGCGAGCTGCTGCAGCCCACCCTGGGCGGCTCCCGCCCTTTGTTCGGGCGCCAGCATCCCGGCCAGGAAGCCCGGCCAGGAAGCCCGACCCCGCCCGCTTTTCCGGAGGGGGCAAGGGAGGGAGCGCGTCCCTCCTCTTCTTTGTCTGCGCCGCGGCTGCCCTGCGGGAGGGGAACAGAGCCTCGCGTGCCCCCCCTGGCCCCTGGCCCCGGTGCGGGGGGCGAGAGAGGCGGCGCTTGGGCTGGGCCGGAGGGCGAAGCCGGACCGTGCGAGCTGCGCTCCCCCCTCCCTCCGAGCAGAAGCCCGGTCCTTGCCGCTCCTGAGGATCTGCGAGGCTGGGGGAGCCGCCCTTCTCCTCGTTTGCCCCGGCAGCCCCGGCGGACGCTGCTAACGGGCGCGATTCCAGCCGGAGGTGTCAGAAAGGCCGGGCTTTCCGCGCGTCCTCCTCCCACGCCTCTCGCAGGCAAGCTCCGCCACTCAAAGGCCGAGGCCTGGCGTAAACCCCCCTCCTCAGCATCTTGATTAGCTCTGGAGATCGGACCGGCAGCGACGACGGGCCGAGGCTCTGTACCTGCTTCCGAGCCACCTGGCTGCCCACCGGCAAGGACCTGCTCGTTGGCTGGAGGAGAAATGCGGGTGCGGGTGGGCTCCTCTCCCCTTCTGTTGTACCTCGCCTTCCCCACCCCGCCCCCAGGAAGGAAGGAAGGAAGGAAGGAAGGAAGGAAGGAAGGAAGGAAGGAAGGAAAGGACTGGAATAAGGGAATACTGAAAGTTGGGAACACGAGTGGCACACACTCACTGGCATCAGATGGCAATGAACAGGGGTGCCTACAGGGTATGTTCTAAAAATCAAGACTGTAGCCTCAGCGGAGTCATTGAAACTCCACCCTTTTTTAGGTGTGCCATTCTCTTGTGGCCATCTTGACTTTTTTGACCATACTGGGTGGACCTGCTTGATGTTCCTCTTTATTTTCATTCTCCTCATGCACATGCCTTCGCTGGAGCCACCATCCAATTTCTTCTAAACCCACTCTATGCAACTGCAAGACAACTCTTTCTTGGACCCATGGAACCACGGGTAGAGGCAGAGAAGCCGCTTCCACCCCCCCGCCCCCCAGCACTTCAGCCATACTGGGATGCCCTATGGCTGAACTTGGACCCCAAACCCCTAATCAGGCAGGCCTCCCTGATGTTCAACAATTACAAACCTTTTGATCTCCTGTCTACACAGGAACAACCTGCAAGAATTATATTTCAGGTAGGAGAAAAAGAATCCTGATGGGTGTGTAGAAGATGGACCTCCTTGCCTGGATCCATCCCATTCACCCAAACCAAACCAAGGCCTCAGCTGAAACCCACTCCTCAGATCCCCTCCCCCCTTTAGTCAGGTTGTTGAGTCCACCCATGGCAGGCCACAGACAAACTGCTTCTTTTGTGGTCTCTTGGAGAGCAGCCTGCTTGTCCCCATCAGCCACCCCCCACGCCTCATTCACACGGAGGGACTTCAGTCCCAGCTGACCTATCAAGCTAACTTCCTGAGTGAATTCACGTCCACAAGACTAGCCTTATCAATGATCAAAGTAGGATTTTAAATACGCCCTTTGGAAACATGTTAAAAAAGATTGGTACCTCTAAAAGTGGCTTGCAGGGAACTTCTACTAAAATCCCATCCAACTGACACAAATGTGCTAATATTGCAAAGAAGGATGCAGATCAAGGCCCCCAATTCTCACTTTGATCCCAAACTCCTACGACCCTGCTTTATTGGCATTTGCCTTCCCTCCCCCATAGAGTGGGCAGCCATAGAGGAAGGAGAGAGGGACCTGCAAAACCTAAAAGAAGTAAGCGCATTGATCTGTCAAAAAATGTCCTGGGGCACCTGAAATTCAAACTTTAGTTTTTAATACAACCATCCTGTACAAAAAGATATTTGCATTCAAACTGCTAGTCTTAAAGTATAAATCCTGCCCAACGGAAAAGTGCAATTGAATGGCTGCTGGATAATTTTCTTGTTCTCCGAGTTCTCTATTGTAGCCTCTTACAGACTAAAACTTGATTGCTCACCTCAGATTGCAGAAGAAGAGAGAGATACAGGCAAGAATCCAGCTCTCCAGCCAACGATCCCACAGTCCTGGGTTGCCTTCACCGAGAGCCACCAGTTTTAAAGCAGGATTTGACCTGGAGGCAGGGGTGCTATCCCTTTGCCCTCTGCCAAACAGAACCTAAACAGAAGCTGTGGGAATCACAAGAGTATTTGCTGGGAGCAACCATAGAAGGCTGACACAGGACACCCGTTACAGCAGATTCTGGCGATGGTGGCTGTTTTCAGCTCCAGCCTGTGGCCATCCAATAAGCACCCAGCTGGCTACAAGGAGAGGAGAGGCAGGATGTGGGGGTCCTTCCAACAGTCAGAAACCAAAAGTGCAGCAAACCCACTATTTCCTGTGCTGAGTCACAAAGACTCACCTGCTGGCCCTTAATGGTGCACCTGGACCCTCTTTGGGCGAGGCTGACTGCCTTAGGTTTACCCCGTGTCCTAAGGGACCCAGCCTCTCCTTCTTTGTCACCAGAAACACAGGACCACCTCTTTCAACGTTCTCCTGAGTTCCTGGCTTCGGAAAGCGTAGATGATGGGGTCCACTACTGAATTGCAGATGATGAGGATGAGGTAGAGGCTGAAGTAACGAAAGTAGCACTTGCAGGCAGGGTGGCTGGGGCAGATGAGGATGAGGATAAGGTGGAGGAAGAAGGGTCCCCAACAAATCAAGAAGACTCCGAGCAAGATGGTGAGGGTAATGGCCCCCTTCATGCTGGTAAACTGGGGTGCATGCTGTTTGCTGTACAGGGTTGAAATCTGCCTGGCGTGCTGGTGTGCCAGCATGAACATGTGGATGTAGAGCCCTGCAATGAGGGTCAGCACAGAGAGGAAGAAGACCACTAGGCACAGGATGACAGCCGTGCTGTCGTAGACAATGAAGAGGATGCTGGAGATGCTGCTGATCAGCCAGACGGCCACCATAAGGGCCACAGCCCGCTGGATGGTCATGATGCTGTGATAGCGCAAGGCGTAGAAGATGGTGATGTAGCGGTCCATGGCGATGACGCCCAGGAAGGAGAGAGAAGACATCAAGGAGCTGCAGATCAACATGTCCATGACGTTGTCGACCTGCTTGACTACAGTGGGCTCTATGATCAGCATCCCGTGTTCTATGAGGAGCATGAAGAGAGTCTCCACCAGGTTGCTGACGCTCACTAGCATGTCTGAAACAGCTAGGCAGCAGATAAAATAATACATGGGGGAATGAAGGTTCCGGTTTTTGACTATGGCGGCCACCACCAGCAAGTTCTCCACAAAGCTCGTTGCTCCCAGAATCAGGAAGAGTTCACTGGGGATCACCACTTGCTGCTCGCTGGCGCAGAAGGACCCATTGGTCCAGTTGGCAACATCAGTGGTGCTATTGGGGGAGTCCAAATGCATCCTCACTGGCAATGTCTCAGGCATCGTGGGGGCTGCTTTGTGGGGATGCTTGTGAAAAATAAGAGGGGGGCCACCAATTTTGGAAGAGCTTTTCTTCCGAAGTGTTTTCAGATGCTGCCCCAAACACCCACCTGTGGGCTGCAGGTTCCTCCTCCGTCAGCAGCTTTCCTCCCAGAATGTCTCAGCTCTATGAGATCAGCTCTCCAACAAAGCGGTTGGGACGGCAAAGCCAGCAACGCTTCACAAGCTCCCAAAAGGACGTTTCCGCTGCAACGCAATTCCAGGGATCCCAGAGCGCCGGCCTCTTGGCTGTTCTTCTCCTTGGGTTCTGCCTTTGTTCTTCAGTCTACGTAGATGAGGAGAGCGATCCCTCCGGCTTCTGTCTTGGTAAGCATTGTATCCATGTCAAACTTTCCCTGGTTTCCTTCCTAATGTTATAATGGCTGAATTTGTCTCTGCCTCCAAAATTGATTAGCAAAAGTTAATGGCAAAGAAAGAACTCTTTCTTCCCCCCCCTTTTAAGGCAACAGACTCAGCTCCTCCTTTAGCAGAAGGGTGGAGGGTGATCCACATGACGACAAGTCAGGCGGCGAGCACTTTGAATGGCAGGGAGGTATTATGAAAGGTCCGTTATGAGCTGTGGCCTTCACAAATACACTGACCAGGGGACGGCCATTCTTGAAGATGAAGCTCCAGAAAAGCAGGAACAAGAGAGTAGGATCATCACCTGGGCTTTTAAGGGGGAGCAGAGAAATGTGGGTCCCGGGGGCCAGCAGAGGGAGAGCTTGGCCAGGCTGCCATTGCATCAGGGCCAACCGTATCTGATATATGCTGTTCTTTTAATGACTCTCGACTAGATTTCTTTCAGCGAAGTTCCCGCTGTGGTCAGGATATCCTTAAGTAGCCGACTGCGCCCTCCTTCTACGACGGGAGAATCCACCAGTTTAGCATTTTCTTCTGCACAACTTCTACACACGTACCTTACTTTGAGAGCTTTGCCTTTTTAAAAAGCTTCTACACAGCCAGTTTTCCCATTCTATCCCCTATTTTTAACGAGTTGATGGTGGCAAAGGCTCTCTGCCCTTTGAAATATCACCACTCTTGTGCAATCTACTTCCAGATCTACATTGTTGAGGTTATTATGTGACAAGTCACTCTGTTAGCAGTTAATGTTCTTCTGAGGTTGCATCTGTGGGGACATATCAGGGGGTTGGTTTTTCTGGCTGTCCATATGTATATGTGCATCATAATCTCTAGACCATGCTGATGTGGGTTCCTAGGATCCCGATCTATCCAAAGCGATGCCTCTGGTGGGGACAACAGCGCACGGACAAACAGCCTAGCCCACTGGCAGGAGGGGAGTGGAGTCAGAGCAACAGAAGACCACCCTTTTTATTGAGACCAAGAAATGCACAGTCTGGTTATTTTTCCAAGTCCCACAGCATCTTCTGTAATCTGGAAGCTGCACAATCATGAAAACCGCATCACTGGACAAGGATTCTGTACAGGATGGACTTTAAATAGGGAAAGCTGGGGAGAGATTGGTTGATGAACCAAGGAATGCCCATAACCTTTCTCGCATTTACCATGTGAAGGCTGAGCAGGTTAGGAGGGAAGGAGCAGCAGGTGAAACTTCTTCAGGTGCTCCAGGCAGTTGTCTTTGGCCTGAACCCAGCCGTGGGCAGTTGGTCTTTGAAAGGGAAGCACCAAATGAGCTCTGAAGTTGCTGTGTTTGGGCCAAAGACAATCCTCCCTGGAGCGACTGAAGAGGAAAAACCTGTTTCTCCATCACTTTACAGTTGAAGTTGCAATTGGGCTTCTGAGCACAGACAGAGGCCTCGTCCTCTCTGGCCTATTCTGTTTCTCGGGCGGAGCAGGCCTAACTGGGCTGTCAGAAGGGCAGGCGAGGTAAGCAGGGCCTCGGGGTTCATGGGTTGGGCTGGCCCAGGAGTTGCAGGCACTGGAAACGGGCACATGCCCAGCTCAGGAACAGTTGCCGCCTTCTTTTCCTGGCAGCCTTGTTCCCCGCTTTGAAGTCTGTCTGGGTTACCCTGTTTATAAACAACTGCAGATGGACGTGTGATGTATGTGTGTATGTGAAGGATGGAAAGGCGTCTGCGTACATATTGTGGGGCCATATTGGAGGCTGTACAGATATCAAGCATTCAAAGCAAGGGGGAGGGGCTTTTCCACAGACATCCCCCAGGGCAGAACAACAGCCTGCTTAGCAGCCAAGCATCTTTCCTCCCTCTCGCAAATGGTCTCTGCAAAATATCAAGACTGAAAGGGTCAACCATAGTTGTATCAAGAGTATTTTTTAGAAAACATTTTCCTAACTTTTTTTAATTAAAAGGTGGTAGGATGTAACCACTGCAGCCTAAAAGAGATGAAATGTTGGGTGGGAGGCAGGAAGTCTTGTAACGGGGACAGAAGCAGCTCAGGAACTCTTGCTCTTTCTTGCCTCGGAGCCAGAGAGCCACAAGAAGAGCCCTCAATGAGGCCTCCGAGAGGACGTGGGGCAGAGGACCTCAAAGGGGGCAGCTGCTGGGCCCCTTGGCTCATGGCCCCAAAGAGGGGGGAGCCTCTGGAGAGGAGACTACTCTGGGTTTGGATCATTCACAGCATCAAGAGGACTGGAACCTGCCTCGTACTGTGGCTGCCTTTGCAACCAGGGCCCATCATCCCCTCCCTCACCAATTCTCCCTGGGAGAATTTCTTGGCAAGACGATTGTTTAGCTTTGGAGAACGTTCTGACCATCCCAATCAATTTTCCCCCAGCTGCCCTTGCCAACCTGCAAATCGTGCCAGGAGGCCCACCCAGACAACCGAAGGGCAGCAACTCCCAAACAAAACAGGCTGGCATTGGCAAGGTGGGGGCCAACCAGGCTGCCCCTGAACTTCTCCCTAAGAGAAAGCCTGGTTCCCTCCACATTAACGGCTTGTTGGGAAAAAAGAGCAGGACAAAAGCCTTTGCAGGGCTCTCCTCCAAAGAGCCAGCGAGGTTTGGAACAGTGACTGAGCCAAGAAAATCCGTGGGTGGGCGGGGTGGGGGCCAGGCCGTTCAATTTCCCTTCTAAAACGCTGTCCAGCACTGAGTCGTCCTTTTATGATGGGGAGAGGGGAAAGCGGAGAGGTGCGTGCAGAGGGAAAGCACAGAGGCCGTTCCAGATTCTTCTACCTGTTTATTGTGGGTGGGCAGAGGGGAGCCAGAGTTCAGTCCCAGTCTCCCCCATCGTCCTCCGGGTTGTCATCTCGGGGGGGTTCCTGGAACTGGATGTTGGCCAGCATATCCCGCATTGCTGCCATCAGCCGGTTCACTCCCTGGTTGAGGTTCTGCCCGGCGCCCAGCTCGGCTTCTCCTCCGGCGCGAACTTCCCCCTGGGATGCAGTACAGGGCAGAGAGGCACCCAGGCAGATCAGTCCTCCAGAAGCCTCTTTCCCTGTCCCCAATGGCTTGATTTGGTTTACCTAAGTGACTTCCACGGCCACCCATCCCACCAGGGGAAAATGCAAAACCACAGCAGACAATCTGGGCACTCACGGCTCATACAAACCCCAGAAAGAAACAACCAGGCAGCTATGCTCACCGAGCCTCTGGCCCAAATACCGGGCTGGTCCACTGCAGCTCCTCTAGATCTATCCCAACGCTTCTGCTGGCAGGATCTTCCCCTCTGCTGCCCTTCATCCCACACCCTGGCCCACGGAGGGGCACGAGCCCTGCGCACCCCCAGGCATGCTCTGGACACACCTGCTATGGCCCTGGTCAAGCTCAAAAGGGCATCTTACCTGTAAGCTGAAGTTTGGCAGCAGTGAGCGAAAAAAAAGGGATAAAGTGCTTTCGTTGGCTGGATGAGTCGCCCTGGAAAGACAGAGGGACGTGTGGCTGAAAGGCTGGGAGGGGAGAGAGGGTCTTGCTTGGGGGGCCTCAGGCAGCCTCTCGGATTATGCTCAGACTGGCCAGCCAAGCAGCGCCTGGGAACTGCCCCACGCGCAACAGAGCTGAGAGCCAGGAAATACCTTTCAGGTCTCGTGTATGAAACAATCGAGTCCAGGGGTGGCAGAGGATCGAATCCCATGATGGGCTGGGAAGTCACTTCCTTGAGAGAGGAAAACAACAGGTCAGAGGTCATTGCGGTCACTATCGTCCAGCCTTCATCTATTGAGCCGTTGAATAAAGCATCTTTACAACCCCTGTGAAAGATGGGCGTGCACTCCGAAAGAAAAGTGCAAAGGAAGACCAAAAGGGGTCAGCCAAGCCAGACACAAGGACGGAGGATGGCCGGCTTGAATGGAAACATTTCCAGGGAAGAAACACTGAACCGAGGGTGGCTCCGTGGAAAGCCAGTGGACAGGAGAGAGCATGAGAACCGGTTTGGTCTAGTGGGGAAAGCACCAGGCTAGAAACCAGGAGATGGTGAGTTACAGTTCTGCACTAGGCACAAAAGCCTGCTGGGTGACTCTGGGCCAGTTCCTCTCTCTTGCAGGACTGTTGTGTGGAAAACAGGAAGAGGAACAAGTATTGTGTTTGCTGCCTTATTTATAAAATACACTTTGGACACCAGTGCCAGAGCTACACCAGGGATGGAGGGCAAGGGAAGTTGCTGTATGTGAAGAACAAGAGCCAGCAGGAGGGTCAGGATGAGGGGCCAGGGAATGGCCCAGGCCTGGAGATGAGCAGCAGCATCGGATCCTCACCGGAGGTAATGCAGCTGTGGCTTCCCTGATCTCCGAGAGGATCACGTGGCGGTAGACATTCCTGGGTGCATTTTGATATCTTGCCTTTCGCCTAGAGAGACAGAGACGGGGGGGGGGGGATGCCAACGGTCTCCTCCAAGCAGCTTCCTCTCCCAGGTGCACGGAAGCAAAAGCACCCGAGTCCTCCACCCTTTTCTGCACCAGCCACAAGTCACACGCTCAGCTTATGGCGGGAGAATGGGCAGCGCTGAACGTCCTGAGCAAGGAGGTCAGTCACCCAGCAGAGAAAAGGCACCAGCAATTGCCCAACTCACTTTTGTTCTGCCTCCTCCAGAAAGGGCTCCTTGGCATCCACCAGTCGCAGCACCGTGTGGACATTGGTCTCCAGCCAGGCCATGACGGCCAGGTCCTTCCAGAGGGCATGGCTCCTCCCCAGGTAGAGGGAGACCAGCTGGCTCAGCGCTGATGGCACACTGGGGGGTGGGGGGGGATGGCTTTTAAGAAAACCGGTTCTGGGGGATGAGATGCTCGTTCCACCACTGCTTTGGTGCAGCTGGTTTTGAAACCTTTCTTCTGTCCCTTTCACACCATTCCCCTTGCAGAAGGAGGCCGAGGGGGAGGAGGAGTTCCAGCCTCCTTGTAATGACAGGCCATCACCCTCGTCCCCAGCGACTGCCAAGGAAAGCTGTCTGAAGTAGCTTAGAAGTAGCATTTGCTTTCTGCCTCTCCCAATGGCAAGATTTCATTTATCCTCCTCATTATCAATTTCTGGCTTAAATGGCTTTTTTGCCATCCCCCCTTGGGAGCTCCTGCCCATAGTGGCTCTCCATGTCCCCCAAGAGGTACAACTGGGATCCAGCAAAGTGCCCCTCCCCACCCTTTACCTCAGCTGAGCTTCCAGTCCAAAGAAGGCATGGGAGGTGACCACAGGGTCAGGTTGCACGCTGCATCGGTCCAGAAGGGGCATCAGGGCTGGAAGGGGGGGGAGAGAGTCAGGGCCTTCCCTGGAGGGCAAAAGAGCTCAGGCCTCCTTATCAATGCTGGGGGGCAAGGGGGCTACTGAGGCACAGAAAAGGCCTTCTCAGTCCCTTTGTGCAGTTTGGGAGGCCTCTCTCTCTCTCTCTCTCTGTGTGTGTGTATGTGTAAAGACAGATTCATCTTTACTCATGTTGGAGATGTGACATTTGGTGCTTTCCTTAATTGCAACTCCCACCCTCCCTGCTTCACTCCCACCCCAGGGGCCCCTCTTCCTCTCTGCTGCTCCAGCATCTGCACATGAGCTGGGCGGGATGCAGGGGCTCACTTACCACTGGGGAACATAATCAGGGCCTGCTGAAGGAGGCCGTCCGCTTGCTCACGGGCTCCGCTTCGCTCTGCTTCAGGCAGATCTTCCTGCTGGCTCAGGAAGAAATAAGCCAGAGGGACGGAGAAGGCAAAATTGGGGAGCTGGCTCAGATTCCGATGACCCTGAATTGGGGGGGGGGGGGAGGAGAGGAAGAGGAGGCACTGATGTGACAAGTTTGAAGAGGCAACTCCAGAGTTCTAGAAGACAGGTGGGGAAGGTGGTGTGGAGCTTGAAGCACGACTTGGGTCTTCAGAAGGCCCTCCCCCAAACACCGGGGAAGGCTCTGAGCATCTGTCCTTAAAGGGGCAGCAAGAGGACAGCAGCAGTTCTGGCCGGTTCCGGAGACTCTGCAGAGCAACCGCTGCTGCTGGTTGAAGTGGGCACTTCTGGGGAGGAGGGAGCAGCTCGCATCCTGGTGCCTTTCAGAAGTCCAGGCAGACCCTTTGGCAAGGGAGATCTTTCCTGAGCCACCTACGTGCTTCATCCCCCAGCCAAAGGCCCAGGAAAATGTCAAAATAGGGCAGGCTGGCATTAAAGCAACCTACTAGAGTTAAAAACAGGAGTAGTCAGCACTGATACTGCTCTGGGGCTGTTAATTGTTTTAACACTCTCTAATTAAAAGATAATTAACAGGAAGCAGCTACTGGGGTAGAAGAAGAAAACATCTCGGGGCACTAGAGGAGGGCAGGAGCGATGGTAGAAGCCCCTCTGGCCCAGAAAGGGGGTCACTTCCTGACATCCAGCTGAAGATCAAGGAAAAGGGGGGAGGGCACTGAACTGTACAGGCTGCACCGATCCTTTGAGGATCGCCCCATGTTTGTGCCGGTGGGGCTCCAGCTCTTCTGCCCCCATGAGGCCCTTACCTCCCATTCCAGGAACATGCGTATCAGGAAGGCGTATTCTCTTGCTCGGAGCGACAGAAAATCCACCAGCAGCAGCATGCCCAGCGGATCGTTCTCCGGATCGAAGCTTCGAGGGGGGGTGAGGGAAGGGTAGATAAGAGGAACGCGACTCTTTCAGGACAGCTGTCCAAAGGAAAGCTCGCTGGCCTTTGGCGGAGGGAGGACCAGCTGGCACCCCCAGGAACAGCGTCCCACCGAGAAGGCCACTAGAAGAGCTTCAGGGCTCCCCTTGACGACCTGGTTTGGGGGCCAAACATTCCTGTCCCAAAGTGGAACTGGAAAAGGACTGTGCTGTCCCCCCCCCCCCGAGAGCAGCCCTCACCTCAAGACGAGCTTGCAGGTCTCCAGGGCAGTCCGGGGACAGCCTCTTCTCTCCAGGGAAAGCAAGTGCTTGAAGAGGGCCAGGTAGAAGGCTCTGTGAGGGACGCCGGAAGGGGAAAGACGTGATTCCAGGGAGAGGAATTGGGAAGTGGAGCCTGACCAAGCAGTGCGTCGACAGGGGCCCTGGCCCCTGGCAGTCACCGGCCAAGAAGCAGCCGCCTCCCTCCAAGCCTCCAGGGTGGGCACCCACCTGTTCTCCGGGTGGCGGTAGTCCAGCCTGCAGGTGCCGCTGGTGAGGCTGAACACAGGGTGGAAGGAGCACTCCAGGGTGTAGAGGGCTCTCTCTGCAAAACAGGCATTGTGACCCGGACACATTGGCAGCCACCAGCTACTTTGATGGCCCAGAGCTTTCAAAGTGATGGAGCTATTTTTTCAAACTCCGTACCCCAAACCCTTCTCTTTTTATGGGCTACACTTGCCCGATTCTTACCAATCAGGTCTCTGGCCATCTCCTGGTCTTCCTGCATCCGGCACACGTCACTGAGCTGCAGAAGTGAGTCCACATGGTAAGGATTCATCTGGAGCAGCAGCTGAGAACAAAGCCGAAGAGCGACACTTAAGGACTCTCTGGAAAAGGGCAAAGCTAACCAAGGGGCTGCCCCTTCACACAACTCACTGATCTCAAATCAGCGTTTGGGAATACTTGAAGACTTCCAAATTCAACAGACAGAAGAAGAGCAGAGCATGAGTTGGCTTCGTGGTCAAACAGAATGCTTGCCTGCATTCCTGGCCCCTATCTGGCCACCAGAAGCCCTGGGCCTTCACTTGGGCTTCAGAGCTATCCTCCACCTCTTCCTCTTCACATCCCTTCTCTTCTGCAACCTCTGCTCCATCCATCCTCCAGGTTCAGATTTACTAAGTCCACTTTCAGTAAACTTAATTAAGTACGAACCATTTTTCAGAAGTGAAATATTCATCCTTCAGACATGGGATCAATTTTCAGTGGCACCTCGTGCCTACTTGCCATTGAAATTATGTTGTTTTTTGTTGCTACCATCAGTTATGCAAAACGCCCTGTACTGCTTTCTGTGTGTTACCTTTTATTGATCCAGAAAAAGCCACCTCATTGCCTCAACGAGTTATGCTGAAAACAAGTTATTCTATAAAAGAAACCACAATCCTTCCTGTTTTCCAAGAACTTACATTCCTGTTTGTCTGAGAATCCAAACGTTCCTCAACTGCAGTGAATTCCCCCTTGAGGAGCAAGTGGGGGGGGGGCAGAGAAGGCAGAGCCGGGAGTCATTCCTGGACAAAAGGGCTTTTATCTCCCAAACACTCCAATTTCAAAGAGCCACATTTATCCTGGCTGGGGGGAAGGAAGGGGGAAGCTCTCCAAACTCAATGTCTTGATTATCTTAATATTAGGCTAAGAGCAAGTTTGGCCTTTCCACGCTTTGTATTTACCATCAAGCTGTTCGCCAGTTAACACAGTTGGACTGGCTCCATAAAAGTCTCAAAGCAGAGCCTGTTCTCTGAAGTCCTGGAGAAATGAGACCCTCCTTTTCTCAAAATTGGTCAATGTTTAAATATAGCACAAATGTTGGCTTAGATCTCTGCACTCCCCTTCAACCCCATCTGCAGTCTTTGTCTTCAGTGCTTGGGAAGCCGAGGCAGGAGAAGAGTCCTCAGCCAGGGGCTGGCTTGCTGGGGGGGGGGTGTCCACCAGCAGGGCTGAAAATGCATGAGGATCACAGGAGCCCCTTCTCTGCCCTACAAGAGTTGACTGCAGGTTCCTTTTCCCCACAGCTTTGGGTGTTCTGATCTCAGCGCGAGCAGATGCTTCATCTCTTCAGAGAGAGATCCACACGCGCACATTGCAGGGACGCAAAATGCTGAGATGGCACTTGGAACCGACAGAAAGGGCAGGGGAAAAAGGTTTCGGCATCCAAAGCCCTCACAATAAAATAATTACTATAGCAGGTAGAACCAGGTTTCAAGGTCCTTTTATGCAGGATATATGCTGGTTCAAATTATACACACATGCATGTCTTGAGAGGAAAATTTAATCAGAAAGTTGTATCCCTTTTTATGATGACATAACATTCTCTCAGAACTTTTTAGCTTTTCCTCTACTTGAAATTAGACTCTTCAAGTGAATTTTGTGTGGCTGAGGTGCTGTGGCACACAAATCAGGCCTCTGCCAGTGGTCTCCATGCAGAGTGGGCTGGACACAGCTGCATCTGGAGAGGGTCAATCGATTCCTACAGCCCACTGGGAATTGTAAGACACACCCTTTGGAGGGCACCAGCTGGGCACGGCTGGACAATACCAAATCCTGAGCAAGTCCAGAAATCAAAATCGGGATGGAACAAATTGCTGTAGTTTCAGAGCTGGTAGATTTGACTTTGGGCATGCCCAACGGAGAACCTACCACAAGATTGTTTGGATCCATTGATTCCACGGCATCCAAGAATTTGAACTGCACCAACTGGTACTCCCGGTTGTGCTCAAAGGCAAAGTGTTGTTCTCCACGCCTTGTTTCTAACAGGACCATGGATATACCTGGATAGATTTGTTGGGGGCAGGAAGCGGGAGGGATGGAAGAAAGAGGGTGGTCAGCCACAATGGAATGGTAATCTAGAATCTAGAAAGTGAATATCTCACTGTTTCTCAACCTTTGCTACTTTAAAATACGTGAACTTCAACTCCCAGAATTCTCCAGCCAAAAATGGAGAATACATATTATGTATCTTAAAGTTGCAGTGGTTGAGAAACATTGGCCTATCTATTTGGAGAGAAACTAAACTCTAGAAACAGGAATGCTAAGCCTGGGTTTTTTCACACCCTTTCCAGTTCGATGGCCTGGATTACCCTCACTCTGAATGCACGGGTCCAGATCTGAACTTCAATTGCAGCCCCCATTCATATTCCCAAGCCTGTGAGTTCTCATCATGCAAGAAGTATACACCTCCAAGCTAGAGGAATCTAGTTACATGAACATTTCCACCTATTGTTTCAGTGTAAAGCAGGCATTCTTCCTTAAAACAAATCTGGAATTCTCTTACGCAAAGCTGGAGAACAGTATGAACAGCCCAGAATGCGGGCGCTTAAGGAAGTATTCCTACAATTGTGAGACAACAACTGGTGCCCTACTGGCATCGGAAGAAAAGTTGCTGGCTTGTAATGCACCCATGATATATTTGCCTGCTGTTCATCTCTGGTACTCAGTACCCAACATGCCATCAGAACAGACAGCAGCCTTTTCCCAGTCCCAAAGTCAGCCGAGGTGTCTTTGGTGCAGGAGGCTTTGGGAAGGCCTCTCACCTGTTTTGCTGTGACGTGGCCAGGTGTCCTTGGGGGCTGCCAACCATGTGCTGCGTACATACTGGCGCTGCCTCTGCCTTGGCCTGGAAAGAAGGAGCGTACTTTAAGACGTGAATTCATACATCAAAGCCTTTATCTGTATTCTAGTTGCTAAGCAGCTGCAACAAAGCCCACATGGGTGGTGCAGTTGTTTTCAAAGCCCTATTGATGCATCCTGACCACTCCCCCCCCCCCAGGCAATCATCAGTCCTTAAAATAAGCAGGGCCTTGTTTTGGGAAGGAGAGAATATGGGCTTCCTTACTGGGAAAATGCAACTGACTCTATTCTCCAGCCAGGAAGTGCTGAAGTTAGCACTGCTAGAGCACCACCTCTCGACTGAACACAAAGATTAAATAGATGCAGTAGAAGAGGGAATAACCACATCTAAGGTCGAGGCATGTGCTTGTCCTCACATGCATGCAATGACTGTGAGAAAGGCAGAGTCAAGTCTTTGCCCGAGTTCATCAAGGGAACTGGGACCAAATGATTCCTCCCCAGCAAGAACCCACAGTGTGGCGCCTGCATCCTGGTGCAGGGCCACATGCTGGACATTCCTCGGGGCAAGCAGTCCACCGGCGGTGGTAAAGAGTATCTCCCAAGAATGGGTCAAAGTCTCTTCTGCTACATCTGAATGCTCAATAAAAACTCTCCATCCAGAACTACCATAGTCCCAGAGCGTCTCAGAGAGATCCCAAACTGATCCTTCCCTGGAGGAGGCTTATGGATTGAGAATGTACCATTTCCCTTCCTTCTACACACAAAGACTAGCAGGCAGGGCGGGGCAGCCCTGGCCCCAGACACAGCTCAGTCTAGAAAATTGCATTCTCCCCACAATGTTTCCCCAGATCATGACTGCTGTGGCCAGATGTTTTGCTTTCCCACACAATCCAGAGACAGGTTTCTATCTCATAACACTGGATCTCACCTCTGATCTCCCAGAACCGCCCGGGCCCCGAAGTATCTCTTCAGCTCCGTCTCTGGATTCAGGCTCCTAGAAAGTTGGGGACACAAATCTTTCCTGCCATTTAATGCCCACAACTTATTCGATGCAGAGAACATGTTGTTCTGTCCAATGCCTTGCTCACTTAAAGCCATCAAACTGAAGATACAATGTGCTTTTGTTTGCATGCAAGCAATAATTGTCTACTGGCCTCTCAGCCAAGCTTTGCAATGTGCTGAATGGCCATGAGCAAAAGCAGAACCAGAGCTTCTATACCTTTGGCCCCCTACATTGCAAAGGCAAGACAAAGGAAAAATGAAAAATGCAGACGCAGCAGAAATTACAGTACGATGTTGGAATATTTTAGATAAAGCCATCTGTGTCATATTAGTATTTATCCTTCCTACTAGGTCAGCATGCCAGCCAGACTGTCTTTGAGATATGGCCAGTGAATAGAAGGAATTTTGTTTACAAAGCCACAGGTCCCTGACTCTTTTCCTTGTCACCACTCAGGGTCAATTCAGCTTCCTTTAAATGTTTTTTCAGAGGGGCACTTTAAGAAATTCCTACTTGCAAAGGGCATCTCATAGGGTTGATAGCAAATATAAGAAAATACTACATATAAGTTGTTCCTCTTGAACTTTCCCTTAATTTAAGCTGTCTAGAGCAGAGGTTCCCCAACCTTTTGGACATCAGGGACCGGTTACGTGGAGAGAGGTTTTTCTGTGGACTGGAGGGGGCATGATTTTGTGTGCTCCCTGCATCCTGTGGATGGGGCTTTCCTTGTTTGTGCGGACCACTTGCTGGCATGCTCTGGCCTGGTACTGGTCCACGGACCGGGGGTTGGGGACCCCTGATCTAGAGCCTCAGCACTGATGTATAACCTAAAACTGATCATTTTACCTATAGTGCAAAAGAGAGGGTTCTCCCACCACCACTGACAGACACATGGTCTGTTACCTGTGTTCAATGTACAGCAGAGGCCGGTTATCTGTGACCAGCCTGCTCTGGCTCTGGCATGGGGGCCCACTGGAATTCTCAATGCTCAGCAAGATGCTTTCAATATTTTCCACTTGGTCATCATCTCCAAGGAACTGTTGAAAAGCAACAAAATGAGCAAAAGAGCTTCATCTTTCTCAGAGAAAATCCACGTAAAGGCAAGTCTGAATGCTCTCTTGCAGGCACCCTCATAATGGTCCTCTTCCCTTTAATACAATCAACACCTTCTGGAATCATAGATGCCCCATCACTGAACATAGGATAGCCATTTGTCCAGGATGTCTGAGAATCTGCCCCAGATGGGGTTGAACTACTATAGGTCCAGGGCCCCTTTCAACCCTTGGATTCTGCTTGAGCTTGGTCTTGCACAGATTTTACCTTTCTTTGTTCCTTGAACTGCAAGCTCTTTCTAATGACTGAATAGTCAAGATTCTGTAGAGCTGTAGTTATGATTTTGTAAGGGTAGCATCATATTTTAATGTTCTAATTTCAAATGAAGTCTCAAATTGCTGGCAGCAAAGGGAATAACCATGACTTTTTCCACATGCCTCAATTGGTTTGTTTCATTCAGCATTTCCATACAAGTGCTTAATCCCCAAACTTAATTCAGTTTACCAGAGCCTCGCTTGAAGGATTCTTCTTATTCTTTCTTTTCTTCTTTTTCTTTCGTGATTTGTTGTTTACAGTAGTCTTTTAAAGATAAAAATAAAAGGTTGAAAGATGCATATAGTGAAGCACGACATCAAAAGTACGAATTTCAAACAAGTTATCTAACCCAGGAAAATATCTAAGTTTCTGTTTAGGAGCTATAGTCACAAATACCCAAAAGATGTGCGGGCAGATAAAAATACAAATAGCAACCAAGCAATATTATAATCCACCAGTATCAAAATAGCAGGAAATGGAGCCCTTCACACCCCCAGGACACCAGACCCAGGGGCACAGCAAGACCCTCAAGACCCTTTGAAAGGCCAGCCCGGTTGGGGCCATTGTAAACTCAGGAGAGAGATGTTCCAGTGGAAAGGCACTATGGAAGAAAAGGCATGCCTTCTGCTCCCCACCATTCCTTAGCTCACGGGACCAGGAGTTTGCACATCCTGCCAGACTGGACTGGATGGGTATAAACAACCGGGAGTAGACAATCCTTCACATAACCAAACCATGAAGGACTTTAATGGTGACAAACAGCATCTTGAATTGCATATGGCTGCCAGTGCAGCTCCTGGAGCAGGAGTGTTACATGTGCCAAATTATTGATTGCAATTTGTTACTATTATTGTCATGAAGCTGACCTGTTTGTATGCACTTTTTGTGTAGTTGTTTTCAAAACCTTTTCTACAAGTTGCTTTGTTTTTCACTAATGATATATAATCAGTTTTAAACAAAAATAGGCACCATTGTTTTCTACAGGATACTTGCCATTTGATCCAGCTGTTCCACCTCTCCCCCCTCCTCCCTCTTGTCGCTCTGGGGCCTTTCAGGTTCAGCCTCTTCAGCTGCTGGGTTGCCTCCTTCCTGCAGTCGGGAGTCATCAGTCTCCTCTTTAGACACCAGGTCCTCATCCAGTCCTTCACTGTTTATCTGCACAGGTTAAAAGTTCCCCAGTCCACAAGCAAGCCTATGGGGTAACCCTCATTTGGTTTCTCTTTCTCTTAACGTTACAAAGGAGAACCACCTAAGAAGGGTGGCCAGCAGCAGGATCAGGAGAGCAAACAAGAGCGCAGTTTCTTTCCCACCAGGGAAGTGACCCAGGCAGAACTCCTCCTGGGAGCAAACTTTCGGGAGACACCCCAGTGCTACCAACTGACCACAGCCACCCGCAAAGGGCTGGAGCTGCCACCCAACCCGCTGAAAGGCACCGGGAGGCTCCAGCCCCTCTATACAGCCCCCCCGGCCTGGGGGGACCGACGCGGCTCGGGGGCCGGGACAGCCGGAGGACGCCGCCCGGCTGCTGAGGGTCTCCGGCCGGGCCGCGGCGAATCCTCACCAGCTCGAAAGGGTTGGCCACTCGCTCCAAGGGCTCCCTCCGCGGGCCCCGCCGCCGCCTCCCGCCGCCGGACACGGGCAGCAGTTGGTCCCCCGCGACCTCCTCGTCCTCGCTGCTGCCTCGCGCCTCCAGCCCGCCGAGGGGCGGCTCCTCGCCCAGCAGCCCCTGCCCGCGACACTCGCCCCGCAGCCGCCGCAGAGCCCGGCGCGACATCGCCAACCACCGCACCGGAAGCCGGCGAGAGAACCCGAAGGAGAGCACGGTGCCCGTCTAGGCACCGGCCCGTCGCGCTTCCGCGGCGCCGCCCACGCATGCGCGGCTCCTCTTTCTGAAGCCCGGCCTGGTCCGCGAAGGCTGAGGGCAGCTTCCCTCGCCGACAGTGGCGGAAAGGGCGGCCCTGGGCCGGCGCCTCTTTCCTTTTGACTGCAAGCCCGCAGGCAGCTTTTCTCCCCGGGAAGAGCCGGGACCGCCTCCGCCCCGCGGTGATTCGTGACTCAGGAGCGATCGGTAGAACCGAAGGCGGCGAACGTGCCCATTGCCCCGGCTTCTGTTGGCCTCTCAACAACAGCCCTGAGAGGTGGGTCTGGCTGAAAAAGAGCCCCCCCCAAGTCACCCAACCGGCTTCCGTGCCTAAGGCGCTCCTGGTTTCTCGGCCAGCCCTTCCCCCGTGCCCCGCTCCCATCAGGCCTTAGGAGGAGGCGGGGGTCGGGCTGTGGGTCCCGTCAGCCGGGGGCTCTGGGGAGTCTCCCTGTAGAGATCGGCTTGGTCCTGACTCTGCTGGCTTTTCGCAAGGGCCTGGAAAGGTGGTTTTGCCAATGGGCCTGAGGATCCCAGGCGTGGCGTAGGACCAGTTCAGTAGCTGCAGTATTTTGGTGGCTGTGATTATCTCAGCTGTAAGTTTAATGCCTTTTATGATGGTTGTTTTTATATTGTTTTTAAATTGCATATTTGTGGTATTATTGTAGGTGTTTGTAAGCCTCCGAGAGTCATATATATGAGATGGGTGGCTATATAAATTGGAATAAATAAGGCTGAATTAGATAATATTCTACATAATCTTATATTCAAGAGCTGAGTTGGCAGATTTCAGGCTGCTGTGTAACTCTGAACACTGCGAAGTTCATGAGCCAAATCTTCAATACTCCCAATCACCTCCAACCCTCCTTTATAGCAGTAGAATTAAGGAAATAACTTTGTTGCAGCTCTATTAAACAATCCTTGTGGATCTATTCAAATTGAGAAGTTTCTGCCCATTGTTCTTCTGGAAAGAGAATAATAAGAGCTATCACAGATCAAATCAAACCTCTGTGTGACTCCTGATCTCTGGAGTGCCAAACAGGGGAGCCTGAAATAAGCACATTTTCCAAAGCTCCTGTAACCATCTCTTTGGATTAACCTTGCAGCATACATTGTATATGTGCTGTGAGAGTAAAATAAGTGGACAGAGGGCAAAACCGGAGCTCTACTTTAAACAGATATCAACAAGCTCTTCCATCTGGAATTTTAGGAAGCATTTGCATCAGCCTCAAATTCCCCCTCCCCTTCAGATGACTGATGATGACAAGGGAAATTATTACTGCCTCGTGAGCAGGTTTTACAGAGGAACATTACTAGGTCTGCTTCACTTTACATTTTATTTACACTTCTTTAAAGTACACACTTTATATAAAACATTGGCAGAGGAGGATGAGTGCAAGCAGGACTGGTAGGAGGGGAAGCCCCCTTTGACACAGCAAGTAGCTACTGCAAAGAGTGAGCAGAAGGTCAGGCCAAATGTCAAGCAAGCAGATTGGCACAGACGACAGGAGGGAGGGCCCTAGAAGAATAGCAGGGGAAGGCCTGGCTCTGCCACCCCAGGCTGCTAAGTCCTGGTCTTCCTCTTCTGTTCTTGCAACCTTCCTCTCTGTCTCCAAACTTATCCCAAAACCTCCCTTCCCCATTTGAGTTTTGCTTTCTGACCACATTCTCAGTTCTGGACAATTCCTTGATTATGGTCTATGTACACTGCACACAGCCAATGATTGGTTATATGCAAGTTATTTGTGCATCCACCTGTGCATTTCTGGCATGAAGTACCCCCATGCCATGTTAGCCATGGGCATATGTGCTTTGTAGAGTTTGGCATGTTGAATTATTATTTATTTTATTTATTTTATTTTACATAAACTTATATGCCGCCCTTCTCCCTATAGGACTCAGGGCGGCTTACAGCATATTAAAACACACAAACGCCATCCCCCATAAAACCAATTAAAAACCAAATATTTGTCGCTGTATAGTTATTAAGATTCGAATTAAAATTGTCCCTATTTAAAATTCTCCCTAGGCCAGACCCGCTTGTTGAAAAAG